CCCCAAAGCCATGAGGCCGGGCTCCCCCCCTCCATATCAGGGTTAGGAACATATCGATCGGTGACTTGGGTCCAAGTCTCTTGCAATTTCCACGAGGGTTTTGGGGCCCCCGCTGCTCACAATGGGCAATTGGCTGTGAAACGAAATGGAGGGGACCCTGAAACTGCTTGGATTCCCTTTCACCAAGCTCACAAGCATAGGTGAGGTAAGCCAGGAATCGCCCAACCTATTTTTCCACCAAATCAACCAAAAAGGTGCTCAAACGATAAAAAGGGGGGAAAAGAAAAAGAAAACATATTATTATTATTATTATTATTATTATTATTATTATTATTATTATTATTATTATTATTATTATTATTATTGTTATTATTATTATTATTATTATTATTATTATTATTATTATTATTATTATTATTATTATTATTATTATTATTATTATTATTATTATTATTATTATTATTATTATTATTATTATTATTATTATTATTATTATTATTATTATCATTATTATTACTATTATTATTATTAAGAACAACAACAAAAAAACGCCCAGCGCCTCCCCTTCCTCTGGGCTTCACCCCAGCCAGCGCCCCGGGCATCGCCGGAATCGGCGCCAGAGGAATTGGTGCGAGCGGCGCCATAGGACAGGCGACAGGCGAGAGGGGTACTCGAAAGAGGGTTGGTGGTCCACCCCCAAAGAAAAAACGTGGCCTCTCCCGGCAAAAACAAGAAAAAAGCGACTAGGTCCTCCAGATTTGAGAGCTTAGAATCAGGGTACCCGATTTTTTTTCTGTAGTCTATTTCAGTAGGGGAACCCTCCCCCAAAAAAGGGTAAAAAGGCACCACTGGGGGACCTAGGAGAACTGGTAACTCTCATTGAATTCGCGAGTCTTCATTCTTGCCTCTCCTCGATGTCACAGGTTGGTGGCTTTGCAGCATACTTGGTTGGCTGAATTTTGTGGGTTGCGAGTTGGCTTGGTCTTTCACCCCCCGTAAGAAATCAAACGGTTTGCCAACAACTAGCATCAGTGTGTCATATGCATCCATCCATCTCCGGACAGGCGCATGGCTGGTAGGGACGGTCCATTTCACCGGGCTCCCTGTGCTCCCTTCGGCACAAGGACATTCACTCAATACCTGGCCCAAACGGTGATCAAGACCAACACAACAGGTATCCGGAAGACTACGGCTCCCCCAATGCGGAATTGGGGGACAAGGAGAACCCCTTCTGAGCAGCAAGCTTCTTTGTCGGACGAAAAAAGACGAGAGGAAACGGGACACGAGAAAAGCGGACCCGTGGAAAACAGGTGGCTTGGTCTCAAAGCGCGCCCCCGACCGGGTTTGAAGCCATGGGGATGTGAATCACAACGAAACAGGGCCAACACTTTGACGCAGCAAAGGGAGCCTGGTGGCATGAAACCATCCGTAGCTTGAGGCCCGCGGCAGAGAGCCCGCCAACACACATGGTAACATGCGCTATGGGCACAAAAAGAGATGTCGGGTAGGTCATGGCCAGAGCTCCCCCCAGCCAAAAACCCACAGAAATGTCCAAAAAGCCCACACGGCACCCTTTCACCGAAAATTCCGTGGAAGTGCACAGACCCCTGTAGAAAGGCGACTTTCCTCTTGAAAAGGGCGGGTTGTGCACTTAAACATGCCTCGGTGGTCCTTTGACCATGGCACTGAGTGCCCCTGCCAGAGCAGCCAGCAGGACCAACGCCAGCGGCGAACGCCTCCTCAGGCTTTTCAGGGAGGAGCATCAAGGAGAAAGAATTTGAAGCTTTTCTAGGTCCTCCAGATTTGAGAGGTTAGAATAAGGGTACCCGATGCTTTTCTGTCGTCTATTTTAGCAGGGGAACCCTGCCACAAAAAAGGAACGGTAAAAGGGCACCTAGCTGGGGGCCTAGTTTTGGTGCTTCCAAAAAAAGGAACACCCAGGCCAGGAGGAGGAAGGGGGGGGGGGGTGGAAATTCTGTATTGTGAAAAGGGGTTGGCATCTCACCCAACAATGGCCATGGTTTGCGGGGTCCGAATAGAAGAATCCGCCGGCAAACAGGCAAACAGCTTTGCCAAATTGTTTTCTTGGAAAAGCGCGGCACGGCTCCAAGAGAAAACCCTTACCTCCAAAGCTGAAAGTTGCAACCATGTGTCCATGCATCTTAAAAAAAACAAAAAAAACTAGTCTAAACAAGGGGCCACCCTGCCAGACCCCAAGTTCCGCTCCAAGGGGAACCCCCCCGGATAGGAACCTCCCGGGCGCCCGGACGCCATGGTCGCAGTGACACACTTTCGGGCCGTTCGAGCTGCAAAAATGGGGGGCTGCCGGAGGGGGGCGCTACAAAGGCCCGCGCTCGGAGGAAAGCGACGCCCGGGGCAAGTGGCTCACTGGAGCTCACCAAAGAAACGAGTGGATCAATTTACTACAAAGGCTCAAACAACAAACACTGCTACTTTTGAAAGGTGCGGGAAAGGGAGTTCCAAGGATTTGCCACTGCAGGTCCAAAAAACTAGAAACGTGGGAAACCTCTGCACCCGGCCGAATGATTCGACCCGGCAGAACCAAACGAGGAGACCGGACTCGATCTCTGAAGCCCAGCCAAGATGAGGCTAACCACTCGGATCCACGACGAGTCGACACATATCCGAGTTTGACTGCCAAGAATGGAATCCAAGGACTCACCCAGGAAGCCCTTCCTAGATTGTCCTAAATGCCAGGGCTAGATCAACTCACCGGGAGCCAGCAATCGGTAAGCCTCGACATCGGATGGGAATCTCAAGGTTTCAACTGGGTTATCAAATGGTGAACCTGCTTTTGCTTGGCGTTCCTCTTTCAGAAACGCCAACCTCTTTTCCAGGAAACCCGCAATTCAATCTCTCCAACATGTTGCGTCCCAACATGCAACAGTGTCATCCGCTCGCTCGACTCTCGGCCACATGTTTTCCGGCGCTTGGAACTGTTACTCGGGGCCAGCAGCCACCTGCGGTTCGCACACAAGATCCCAGTGATTGGAGTACTGCTTTGTTGCTGTTGACCCCTCTGCAAAAAGTGAATAACTGTTTGTGGCCTTGGTGGAAAACCCAACTTCATTTCAAGCAAAAAGTTAAAGTCTAAAGATCCGTTGCCCAATCAAGACTGCCTGTCCAAAGGCACAACCTGGCAGTACTGATTTTGAGATGCTGCAAAGGGAAGCCCGGAAACCCTATCCAAATCCACGATCCCAGTGATTGAATTGATCTTCCAAGAAGGGACATGTGGCCATGGGTCAAAAGCCAAATCGTCCCCCCAACAAAACATGAACACCAAACCACTAAAACAGGAAGCCGAATTTATGGGCGGTGAATTCACCAGTCCCAACCAACCCGGGATCCCACGGTTTTGACCACGGCCACGGAAAAACTCCGCTCTCCCGCCGGGCGCCCGGGCCCTGCGGGTAGTGACCTCCGGCCACTCGATGTCCTGGAGCTTCATCAGCTCCTCGAGAACCGAAGTCTTCGGCTCGGAGGCCAAGAGATGGGTCGCGCGCCCCGCAGGAAAGCGGTGATCCAGCTTGTTGTCCTTGTTGCTTGTTTCTTTTTCCTGTGCTTTCTTCTTCTTCTTCTTCTTCTTCTTCTACTCTTTTTTTTTGGGGGGGGTTAGGTGTTTATCTGCTTTTTGCTTCTTCTATTTTGGTTAAACACCCAGAAATCAAAGGTTGGCCTCCAACCATCACTGCCTGGCCACAAGTCTGTTTGTCATCTCCCTCTCTCTCTCTTTCTCTCTCTCTCTCATTCTCTCTCTCTCTCTCTCTCTCTCTCTCTCGCTCTTTTTCAGAGAGGAACTATGGCGGACACTGAATCACCTCTGCGTTTTTTCTCTGTGGACGCTGAGAGTAGGAGATATTTAATGCTGGATCTAGCCTGGACGAAGCTCTTGAGTTCAAAGGGACAGGGCACCTTCAGCAAGTAGTTTCGGATAGGAATCTGATCAGTCCGCAATGCTATCAGCACCAAAGACCCCAAAAGCCTAATCTCAAACGTCAGGGTTGCCCTGTGCCTTGCCCCCTTCAACATGTTACGCTCGACCCCTGTTGAAACACCCTGCAGAGTTCCTTTTAAAACGGCCTTTTGTATGGCTGGTTCCCTTCACAACTTCTTGATACAACCTCCATTTCGAAAGACATTGTCGGAAAAGCGTGTCTGTCATCCGAAGCTTTGTCCATGTGTTAACAAGTTGCTGAAAAGAATAAGGAGTTCAGCATGTTGTTTGTCGACAAGCAAGAAGCTTTCTCAAGCATCTTAACAATGAAAACACCACCACCCGTCACCACCACCACCCCCAAAACCGCCGCTGCCGCCGCCCCCACCCCCAGCTCGGCTCCTTGCCCCCAAGCCAAAAAGCCAACGAGCCCGCCTTAGGGCGTCCTTTCGGACAACTCGCTGGGTGCCAAAAAAAACCTCAACTGAAACCAGTTTGATTCCTATCGCTTCTCAACAGGGCTGTGGGGAATGGAATCCACTTCTGTGATATAACAGAAAGGGCTTCCCAAAGACTATTTTGTTCATATAAAGGGGGATTCCCTTGTATCACAGCAATGGGGAGAAACCCCTTGACCCCACAACCCTGCTTCTCAAACTTCCTGAAACCGCGCCTCCGGGGCGTCTGGGGGCACCTGCGGCAGCGCCGCGTCGGGGTCGAAGTCCTCGTCCTGCGCAAACGGCAAACGGAGGGCTTTCTGGTCGGTTTTCCGAAAAGGAAGTGGAGCAATCACCAAGAGATCCTAAAAAAACCTGGCGAACTGCCAAGGGAAACTCGCCATTGCAGCCAAAGGGTTGGATTCGCTGTACACAACTGATTTTCTTTGCTGGTTTGCCATCAGCAAATGAAGCCGGGGAAAGATGTCTCTAAACCCAGGCCTGTGCCTCGTTTGCCTGCCTTGGGTTCTGGTGGCTTGGGGTTTGGTTGCCTTTGGGAACCTTGGCCGTGGGGCGCTCTGATCCAGCTGTTTCAGACACATTCTGAGAGAAAGTCGTGGATGGTCCCAGCCTTCCCTTTCTTCTGGAGGGGAAGGGGGGTTCGAGTGTGTGGAATGTCCTCACCATAAGTCATGTGGGTATGAATTCTAGTTGGTGCCCTGTGGGCGGCATCATTCACATGGAGATGTATGTCCATGATCTCGAAGGGACCATGCTGAAATGAGTGGCCGTATGTTGGACCCTTTGCAGACCCTTGCTTGACATATGGGTGAACCACAAGTACTCTCCGACTCAAAGGATTCCCCCTATGAAAGGGGTCTTGGGTAAAAACACCAGCCTCTTTGTGAGGTCTTGATGCGATTTGCCTCGAAAGATTGCGCTTCTTTGGAGGGCTGTTGCAGGGAAACCAATAGCGGACCCACCCCACGTTGGTTCGGGATGGGGAAAAGGCCCTTCCCCTGGGTTCCGTTGTTCTACGGGGTGTCCACACATGTTTATGTGCTTGGAACCTTCCCCTCTAGGTTGGTATCTGCAGGACAAAGGAAACAAGCCATTCTCCAAGAGGATGGCTTGTGGGTTTTCCGCAAACGAAAGACGCGTTCGAAGGATCCGAAAGACTGAGCCCGAACGGGACTTTCCCAGCGTCAAACCGGGGCCTTTCTTCCTGCAAGTCTCCGCTGAGGTGAGGGGGTCATGGAACTTCCATTTGCTTAAGTCCCCTGGAAAAAAATAAAATATGTCCAGTAGTGATAGATTCCCTTTAAAACCAACAGAGGAAGAAAACAAAATGACCAAATGGAAGAGAATCATGTTGTCCATAAACTGTACCTGCAAATGGACATTGCGTGCATGGAGTGGAGAGCCTCATACGGCCGTGTTGTTCACTGAATTGCTTGCAAGCCCGTTGCTTCTCTTCCCGCTGGCAAAGCAGTGACGTTCTTGCACCACGCACTCGGTACGACATGTGCAATGGTGACAACTCCTTCTGGGGGCTGTGGGTCATATGGGTCTGTGTCTTGTTGGGTAGCCTCTTCAGGTTTTTTTTCAAGCGAAACCGCCAGGAGCCCCAAAGCCGTTTGGGATATCCCCCCCCCCCCAGTTTGACACATACCCATCGGCTCCCTGAACAGCCAGGGAATGCCAGTCGATTGTTCAAAAACTTGATACCCAAGCTTTGGCGTCAGCGGCTTTTTGCCCTCTGCGGTGCCCCCAAACCTTGGTTGACGTTGAAAGGGGAGCAAAAAAATCAAAACAACATAGCAGCCAAGTGGTTGGATTTCAACCACTCAACCACAACAAGCAGAAATGGAAGAAATGTTTCCCAACATGTCTTGGAAACATTTCTTAGAAACATCTCTTACATTTCTGTTGGGAAACATTTTTCTCAACCACAATAAGCAGAGATGAGAAACGGAAAAGTTTTCCCAACCGGAAGTCCGCCGGCCTCGGGATCTGGGGGGATGTAGTCCCAGTCCTTGCTAAAGTCCGGCGGCGGTCCTCGCGAAACCGAACCGAGACGGAGGCCTGCGCCTTGGATTTCCCCATGGCCTTTGGACTCGCAAAGTTTTTGGGCCCCAGGAAGGCCATGGGGAAATCCAAAGCGGACCTCAGAAACGGACCTCAGAAAGGTTTTTGGGCCCCTAGGATTCGTGTCTCAAGATGACAACACCCACATGGGGAGAGAGAGAGAGTGGGTCTCTTGTGTTGTTGCCCTTTAACAGCACCCATTTTGAGGGTCGAGACCTGTCACATAAAAGGAGGACGCAACCAAGTCCGAAGGTGGTGAAAAGGAGCGGCTGCACATTGCAACTAGCTTCCCACCGCGAACCAATCAGACCAATCAAACCTTCGGAAACTCCACCCGTGACAAATGTGAAACAAGTTCTGGCGAGATGTGGGTCAAGAACTCCAGAGGTCGACCCAGATTCGATGAAAGTGATATCCGGATTCTCAGTCCTGGAAAGGGCCCTAGCCCTTCCACATACATCGTCACCTCGCCGCGAATTCGCGCTGTGCAGCTGTTTTTGCATAGCAAGAGATGTGGTTCTAACAAAAAAGAGGAAACACAGTCAGGTGGTGTCCCTTGGGTTTCTCTCTTGAACACGGCCCCAAAAAGAAGACCCTCAAAACCTGTCACAGTCCACTGTGTTTGAGCCCAGCGATTTGTTTAAGCACGGGAACCATCCTCACTTTCCAACCGCTCGGTTCGTGAATGAAACGCTTGGAAGCTTCATTTTAGCCAGGTGCCAGCACGAAGCCGTGTTTTGGTTGAAAGTGGGGGAACCAAGCCCTCCAAAATCATCATCTGCGCAAACTCATGTTCCCGCGATCAAATGCTCACTGAAGCAAAGAAAGCGTTGATATGTCTCAAAGCCGTCTGGAGAGGGGGACGGCTCATTTGGACCAACGCCCCGGATGTGGGCGGACCTGAGAAAATGATGACCGCCCATGTTCAGCTCAGTGGGCAAAAAAGGGGGCTTCATGTCCAACCACCTCACCCCTAGCTTTGGTTGGGCTCAGACCTCAGGTATCTTCTGCTCTTGGAAAGGAACTGGTACCCCGTCCCTCGACCCCCCAGTCCTGAGTTATGCTGGTTCCCAATTCCTTGCTGCTTCGAGAGCCAGGAATGAGGGAATGACCCCCATAAACCATCCCCTATGGTTTCCTTTAAGGGAATCCTGAAACGGTTCATTCCCAAAACCTGGCTGAGCACCAGCAAGATCAAAATGGAATCCTCAGTCGCCTTTAGCCCCAAGTTCGCTGAGGCTCGCGCATTGGTCTCATACTGTTCCCGCAGGGTAATGACTGGAAATCCATCCTCGCATGGCGATCGAACGCTCGACCCACTTCTGGAGCTCAATAAATTGGCCTGTTGGAACAAATGTTTGAGGCAAACAACCCTTTATGGGCTCTTTAAGTCTGTACACAATCTGTCGGAAAGGGGAAAAAAAGATTCTTGCATATGTTTGGGGTTCCCCACATTGCCGCAAGGTGATTTCCCTTTGGTGTTCCAAGCACATCCTCACACTCAACATCTCTTCGCGAAACCGGTTCGGATGGCTTAGCGAAACCACAAGGAAACAAGGAAGCCGTCCAAAGAAAATCGCACCCACCGGGAGTCGGGAGGGCTGTTTCTAGCGTATCACAAAACGGGCAATCCCCAAACATCCCCGAGCTTCTTGGGACAATGCTGACATGTGGCCATGGGTCAAAACCAATGGTACCATTTTGGGGTTTTCGGCGCACCACCCCATTTTAGAACCTATTTTAGCGGTTGCATTGAATCGGCTGGTCTTTCTGGGGGCTAACCGATTTGGCTTTTGACCACCACAGCCATGTCGAGTCCTCATCTCTAGGAACTCCCGCTGGGAACTTCTCTGCCTCGGACCATCGTCGCACGGGGAAAAAAGCCTCCGGGTATCACCTCATTCTGAGCAAATCCTGTCCCCCCCCCCGCGCGCCCCCAAAGCACCCAGGAACACATGTAATTACACGCTGCCTGTTGGGGACTCCTGGATCCCTGGCTTGCATTGCATCATGCATCACCTCCTTTGCCTCCCCATGTCTTGCACCCCGAGCCGGGCCAACCGGTTTCTCAACCTGCGCTCGCCTGAGTCTCTCCTTGCCAAACCAAAGGTGGGAGAGCCTTCCAGCAGCTCGGCGAGTTGATCGGCCAGCCTCGGGGTTGGGGATGATGGGCCGCCCACCGATGCGCCCATAGGGCGCCGCGGCCCCTCGGGCGGGAAAGAGCTGAAGGACGAGACGAAAAAAACCGCGCCTTCCGCGGCTCGGGGGCCATTTGCCGCGGAGCAGTCGGATTTGTCAGCCATCCACATCACACCTCACCCTAGCATATGAAATGCGCGTGGAGCCCGAACACTCCACACCCCCAAACACTTTTGGACCACAACTGGAGGTGGGTGGCAGGAGCGAATTTACGGCCTTGCGGGAAAGAAAGGGGGCAAGCTTTCGGCTCAGGTTCACCCGTCGCACGACAGTGCTCAGCAAAATGCTTCACCCAAATTACGATTCGAGTTTCTAGTGCCCGCAGAGCAGCCACCTTGGGGATGGATTTCAAAGCGTGCCATGGAGTTTGGATCTATGCCCAAGATTGATCCTGCATGTCCTCCGTGTGCTTCGATTTTTTCTGAGAAGGATCCGAGAAAGAATGAGGTCTTGGAAGACTACCAACGAGATTCTGTCCACCTGGGTACAAATCCAAACGAGGGAACCCCACACATGCTGCGGTGTCTCCTTTGACAATTTCCTTTCAACCAGCCAACAACTGAGATCCAAAAAGTCGCCGCCCACTTGAAACAGATTGACCCCAGATTCCACATGGGGTGTGCGCGTTCTGAGAGTACCATTTGGGGGTTAGCGTAAAAGGAAACCTGTTAAAGGCTAAACGTTGGAAAGCTCAAAAGGTTGAGCAGGTCTAAAAGCTTGACAAGCCTAAACATCCCTTCAATCAAGAAAAGACTCAAATCGCTTAAACAGGTTCTTTGTTAAACAAACAGAAGAAAACTGCGGCTTTAAAAGGCTACGGCGAAAGGTGGGTCGGGATTCTCCCGAAATATCAAATGGCAGCCCAATGCCCACGCTCGAGCAGCCTCGCGACTGTTTTTCACGCTAGGTCCAAGCGCAGAAGGCGTTCGTCTCTTTTTGTACATGATGTCCATTCAAACCCCCCATGTTCAACCGATGATAGGCCTCCTGCCCAAAAATAAGCCTGCTTCCTGGTTGAGAGCTTGCCATGTTCGAAAGGTTTCGAATGGATCCGGAGTCGCCCAGAACTAAAGGGGGGGACCCCCGATGGGGCCGGGACCCCCAAAACCTGTTGGCGCCACCTGGAACTGCGGGACTTTTTGCGCCTGAGAGGCACATCCCGAGTGGTCGCCTGCCTGGAAGCCATGTAGGCCTGGATGTGTCAATCCCAGATCGGTGGATGTCTGAAAAAAGACCGGTGATTTCAGAAGAAACGCCTGAAGTGACGGCTCCCGACCTTGGCTTCCGGCGAAACTGAGAAAAAGTGGCGCGGAAAATGCCGCTCCCCCGCGGGTTGGAATTTCCAGCCAGCCCGGACCTGTGGTGCGCCTGTTGCGTGGAACAGCTCGGATCAGCTCGGATCAGCTCGGACCGAGCCGGCGACAGGGCGCCACAAAACTTCTCGGAATTCGCACTCCTTGAAATGGAACAGGGGGGAACCTCCCCACGTGGAACAGAATCAAAGGCTATGGACGGCTCGTAACGGCAAGCCCCTCGCAACTGAGGGGGAACATCTCGGGCATGGAACGCCCGGAACTCTCTGTCAACCAGAGCTCTTGCCAACTTTGGCCATTGGCCCAAAGAACGGGCCAAGAACGCGGATTCGGGAACCCTTTGGAACGAGGTGAAACAGCTCAGAACAACCCGGAACTTCCTTTGGTCCGATTTGCGGAACGGTCACCTCTCACACGTCACCATGGTCCCCTCAGGCTCTTCCCACGTCCAATCCGCTGACCTAGCCCAGATCTGGCCAATCCCACGAGATCCCTCGAACAGCGAGCTAATGTTTTTGGGCGGAAGCGTGCTGACTTTCAGGAAAGACCAAAAATAGAAAAACCTACGGCCAAGTCGCATGTTGCCTCCTGATTCTGTCCTCAGCCAGCAAGTTTGAGCAACTTGAAGCAGCATGCTGCGCCACTTGCTCCCCCAGCCCGTGTGCCGCTGTGTACGTGTGAGTGTGTGTGTGTGTGCCGTGATCGAAAGTCCTGTCGGCGGGGGCCCTTGTCGATCAGGAGCGTACCCTCTCCATGTTCAGTTGTCGTTCAGGACCAATACCCAATACCCTACACAAAGGCCGTCTCACATCAGCTACTGATTTGGGCGTCTCAAAATGTCCACTTCCCGTCTGCTTAGGGAAACAGAGCTTTCAAACCTACCATTGGGGTCCCTGGATTCTTTTTTGAACACCAAGGGAGACATGGCAAGGGACACGCAATCACCACTCTCTGCGTGTGCGCCCGCAAATTGTTGCCATGGAACGTGACCAGTTTCAGCCCCTTTGGTTATCCTGTTCCTCTTAAAGGAACGAACCTTGTCTTGGCTCCATCTTTGTGAGGCAGTACACATGGATTGACTCAACCATTTTCATCAACAGCAGTCCATCTGCAAACGCTCTTTGGCTCCCTTTGGTTTGCACTGTACAAAAGCCCTCAAGTAGCGATGCTGGAGGAAGCCCCCGTTCTTGCAAGGCATGTTGCGAGTACCATACGCCCCGAATCCCAGACTGAGTACCTTGAGCAGACCCTACATGGGCGTGTAAAATTTGTTGAGGGTACGCTTTGTGGGGCTGCTTCCAAGAAAAACCAAAGGGCCGTGTCCATACAATGAGGTTGAAGTGTTTCTGTGGCAAAAACACCAGCCCCCATCCCGAGTTCTCAAATGGTTGCACCACGGCAATGATCCAGGGACGGCATGGGAAGGAAAGGCGTGTCCTCCAAAGGCCCCCTCCCACTGGCAATTGATTACCACACATGCATTGTTATTCTAGGGGTTGATTCCCCATTCTTTTCGACCATCGTTCTTTTCAAAAACCAGCTGTTTTTCAGGGGTTTTTGGTGCCAGCTGGTTTTTGGTGGTTTTCTAGAAAGATTCGGATCCCTGGAAAGAATGGGGAAGCTACCCTTTGCATCGTAAAAGTCAAACCCGAACCAAGAGATGCATCCTGAAAAGCGCTTGAGCTACCCCCGCATCGCCCCGAATCGCACCCAAGCGGCCACCACCGACGGCACGAGGGCGCTCGACGCTCGTAGCACGTTCAAGGCGAGGCTCGCTGAAGGGAAAGCGCCGTCTCGTCGGGTGAGTCGGGTTCCGTAGCCAAAACGCTGCGGAAAGGAACTGCAAGAGTCAGTTGCAAGTCTTGCCAGATATGGGAATAGATGGGGCCAAGGAATACCAAAAGGGACCACACAAAAAGGTCAAGCTCAGCCCAACGAACCTCCCACCAAGAACGGCCATCAAAAACTGCACCGAGAAAAGCTGCGTGCAAAGGCGTACATGGGCGTGTCGACGAAGCCTCCACTTCCGTGGGGGTTCTATTCTTGGCTCAGGCCCACGCAGGCCTTTGCGGCTCTCATATCGCACAAAGCCAACTTCGGGTCCTTAATCCGAAAATTGCCGTCGCCACAAAGAGCACATTTGATGTTCAGGATCAGAATCAGTTGGAATGCCCCAGCCAGGCTTGATGGAAGTCCCGCAAAGATCCCGGGGCATTTGCGACCAAAGACCAGTGGATCTAAAAGGAGCCGACTTGGTCGGCTCCACAAGCCCCGGGGACCCTTGGGCCAAATCAGCTTGGTGGTTCTTCCTGGGGTCATGATTTTAACGGTTTCTGGGGTTTACCAAAGTCAGAAAATGAACTCGGTGGTTTCCCTTTACTCCACCACTTAGGGGGTGACTTTGATCATGGTAAAGATTGGCCAATCATACGTTCATCATTACAATAAGGAACCAACCGTCATGCATTTGGATTGCAAATATCAGAACCTCACCGGCCGGCGTTTCTGAACACGACGCCTCGGCCCCTGCGGGCCCCGGCTCTTTCTCTGGGCCCCGGGAGGAGGCGCGAAGGCCTGGCTCGAGACGACGGGAAAAAACAAAAAACAAAAAAAACGCGGAGCCTTGCCACCAATGCGTTCGGGGCGCGCTTTGGCTTTTCGGGGCCGGCGAACTGCTCGTCGCGTCCTTTTTCGGAGAACATCCCCCCTACCAGAAGGAAAAGGGGGGTAGGGGGTCCCCAATTCCAGTTATCTAGTCTTCCCCTTACAGAGGAAATGGAACCGTAAATGGAATTTCAGGGGTCACCCCCCTCCCCCAATTCCATATTCAAGGGGGTGAGCATAGGAGAACCAAAGAGAAACCAGACCTCGCAGGAGGTCTCCAATTCAGCCCTGACTTGGAGTCTCGGCATTGCTGCTAGAGCATCAACTCAGCTGGGTGTGGCTCAAAAATTCAAAGGGCGAACCGCAGGTTTTAGTCTTTGGTTCCACTTACCAAGGAGGCCACGTGGCTACGTGTTTTTGAGCATCAACTCATTTGGCCCCTTCCAGACCCGGCCAAGCCCCGATGCCGCACAGGCCTCCCAGTATTCCAGGCCCCTCCACGCAGCGGCAACCTGAGCGCGAGCGATTTTCCGGCGCGCTTGGAGTCATGGACGAAAAGGACATGGAATGTCCAACAAATTCCCTACCTGGGTCCTCCAGTAGAGAGGTTAGAATAAAGGGTACCCGATGTTTTTCTGTTGTCTATTTTAGCAGGGGAACCCTCCGGTAGAATGGCACTGGGGGACCTAGTTACAGTAAACCGTTGCTCAGAACCTCCCACACGGCTAAGTGGGTTCCCTTCAGCTGCCCGGGCGGCATCGCGCGCGGGAAACACAAAACACATCCCACTCTGATTGGCCTTAGGGAACTCCAACAAATGCTACCATATTCATGTGTTTTTTTCTTGAATCATCCTTTCATGCAATCTCCACTCAATTACCCATCCCTCTTGAGCCCGCTTGCCCTTCTACTTGCTCCCCTTGGGACAACGAGTTTTCGGCGTTCATATCCAAAAAAAACTAGGCAGCCCCAGTCAAACCCTAAAAGAATCCCCCCACCCACCCACCCACCCACCCGGTCCATCTAGCGCCCCCGGCAAGCACCACACAGCCCGAGGCCGCGAACAGCGGCGCCAGGGGCGAGCGCCGCCTCGGCTCTGGGAGGGTCCGGGGTGGATCCAAAGGCCCGCTGAACCTGGGACGACCATCAGGGGAACCACGAAAAAAAATATCACCACATGAGACAAAATTGTCCTGTCATGGTGGGGCCGGGAATATATATATATATAATGTAGTTTGTAGTTTGTTTAGAAAAGGAGAAAAAAAGGTACATGTACACATATATACATACATATTGATCAACCCCGAATTGTCCGTCAGGTCCTCCTTGCTGCTTTGGAGCCCGGTGGTTCCGATGTCTGGATAACCAATCCTCTGGAGTCACGGGTGGGTTTGGATTGGCTTGCTTTGGTGGTGGAGGGCTTCCCCCCATTTGCCCTCCACATTGTGACATTCAAATCCAAACCAACTGGGGGGTACCTGAATGGTTCCCCAATGCGCCAAAAACACCTCCGCAAATGATGGCTGCTGTTTGGAGCAAAGTCCAGACTCCTCCCAAAAATATTGGAGCTCCAGAATGGGGTAGCCCTTGCCGAAAAGCGATGATGGATTTCAAAGGAGCTTTGTGCGTCAACGTTCCAGTTTGGAAATCAATGGAAGGAAGCCCATATCCCCAACTCCACGAGGAGTTTCTGTTGGGATGCTCTTGCCTCCCAGATTCCTTCTGCCCGTTTGCACGAGGATCCGTCCGGAAGCCCCAGCCGGTTCCCTTCATGATTTCGGAAGCCCCTCCAGCCTCAACTGACCACTCCTTCCAAATCTACATCAGGAGCCGAGTTTCAGCCGCGAGTGGTCAAAGCCATCAAACACCGACTGGCACCTGTATCGACCACTTGGAACGAGGGATACCCTTGTAGCGCTTGGCTTCCTTAGATTCCCTTTCATGCATTTTCTGGCGCAAGGGCGACATCATCCCCACAAACACCATCATATTACTCATGCGTCTGAATATATATATATATATATATATATTGCGTCTGTCCATAGTACACATACTTACGAATGAATCTAAGCATATTCTGTACGTCTCAAATATTTGCATGTCTCAAAATAGAGGGGCCCTCTTTAAAATGGCTGGGTGCCCTCCCAAAAGCGGACCCTGGCCCCTTCCTTCGCCCGCTATGGACCGATCCGCGCAAAAGCGCCGGCGAGCGAACCCCGCCTCTCCACGCGCTCCATGGCTCCAGCCGAGCCCGCGAGCCCGCCCCGCTGCTCTCTAAACCGCAACGGCTGGAGCACATGAACAGCCTGGAAGATCATCTTCAGGCCTGAATGGTTCGAATCATGCTTTGGGTACTGTAAAACCATAAGTTAGCCAAAAAGGATCATAGAAGTCCGCAAAAAGTATTCTTGGTAAAATGGGGCCTGACCCAGTTTCTCGAAAAGTCTCCCTTTGAAACCAAAGCAAGCGACAGAAGACACTGCACATGTGCGGGGGAACAGAATCTTGCAAGCGAGCTCCTCCTAATTTCCAAGGGAAACCCAAAAAGAAGATTTGTGTTGGGGTTCCATGCAGTTTTCTTGAAAACGACTTCCCCCCCCTCCCCAATTTCTACTGGAGAGGCCAGCGCCATGCTGTCGTTCCAAAATCGGTGGCTCCCAAAACACTGGCATGCCCCCCGCTCTTTCTATTTGGCCATGGGTCCAAATCCAAAGCCCATACCCCCAGAAAGAACATCCCAATCCCTAAAATAGGTTCAACGGGGTGCATGGGATCCCATTGGTTTTGACCCGCAGCCATTTGCTTCTCTCCCTCTCTCTCTCTCTCTGTCTCTCTCTCTCTCTGTCTCTCTCTCTCTCTCTGTCTCTATTTCTCTCTCTCTCCGGCCCTCTCGCCTTTTTTCGGAAACTCGGCTTCTTCGGAGCAGATGGACTCAAACTGTCTCTGCCTCCACGCCTGTCCGCATAGTCCAGGCGGCCGATGAATCAGAACTCAGCCCGGAAGCCGGCTGCCGGCTGCCGCGGCACGGAGAGGCCACAAACCACTCACCAGTGGGAAAATGGAGGGGGGGATAAACATGCGGACAGCGAGAGGTTTTGAGAGGATGTGAGCCTTCCAAAACCATCCTCTGCGCGTTCATGATTGTTGGAAGAAGAGCACAAGAATCAATAAAAGGGCTTGTCTCCAAATGGGATACAGAACCCCAAAATGAGAGTGTTAAAATTGGGTAGCCTTAAAGAGCACCCATACACCTGCCTGCAATTTCTCTCAATGCTCCAAACTCGGAAGGCTCATAGGGCTGGACGTTTTACTCTGCGTAGCATGCTCACCTGTAAAAAGTGACCTCTCCAAACGGAGACCTCGTGCTCCAATCAAACAAGCCGGTTTCTGGAGACCTCCAGGTCGCCGATTTCTGGGGGGGAAAGGCAAAGTGGGAATCAACGCGGTCTGACACGAGGTGATTCTCAAACCGAAAACTCCGATGCTCTGCGGCTCTGAGGCTCCGGCATACAGTACATGCAACCAGCCAAGCCGTAGGGCTCAAAAACGATTCCTCGGTTATGCCGTTTGCTTCTCACCGACTCGCTGCGCGCCCGCGGCGACTGGTGCTTTGCGCGTGTCTTATTCTGGCGCTCCGTCTTTGCATCTGTCTCTTGGTATGCCCCAAAGGGATTCTCCCCCACGTCCTGTGCTGTCAATCGCAAATGTCAGCACGCAGTGGTTCGGCCCTCTTTTGCCCACCTTGACATGTAAACGTGTTGAATCAAGCCCTTTTTGACCAGCATCAACGATGCGAGCTACGCCATTTCGCAAGAGAACGCTCGAAATGCGGTTTGAGAAACTGTCCGCACAAGAGGTGCGCAACCTTGAAACCATCTTCTGCCATAAATCCGGCCCAAACAGAACCCCTTGCCACCCAAACCCTCCAAGCCTTCCAACACCCAACCGCCTCCAAGGGCAAAAAGGCCCCAAAGCCATTGGCTAACCGGGACCCTTTCCCTCCGAGCAGCACAGGATGATCCTCTACAGTGCGCCCTGGGCTTAACGGGTGGACCGCACCTCGGCTCAGAGCGAAACCTGAGAAACCGACAAGGGCCCTTGGTGTTCCAAGCCCCAAAAGAAAGACTTGAAGCCAGGTGCCCATTTCCTTGACGTGGGTTGCAAATCTCGGGGGTCGAGATGCCAAGCCAAAGCCACGGCGTTTGCCACTGACATGCGTCTTATCAAGTCCGAAGGGAACCCGACCTATCTCAAGTTGCTGCGCCTTTAAAGGGAGTCTTTGCACGTCCTTTGCCGAGCCTATTTTGTCAAACACCGTGTGCTTCGTTTGCTTACCGAATCAATATCGCTAGGATTGAGTCATGAAGTAATGAATGTATGATGTCAATGTAGTGTTTCGATGCTCGAATGAATGCTTGATTTTTCACCTGGTTTCTGCGTCCCAAAAAAATCGCCCGTGATTCCACAATCCCATGGACAAAATGCATGGGTCAACGCACGCGCATCGAATTCCTCGACTGAGCCTGGTTTTTCACCTGGTTTCTGCGTCCTAAAAAATTCGCCCGTGATTCCACAATCCCATGGACAAAATGCATGGGTCAACGCACGCGCATCGAATTCCTCGACTGAGCCTGGGGCATCCAAAAAGATGAGCAGCCAAGAAGAGACAAGGAAACCTCGGAAGGTCCGGTGCGGCCAGTGGCCAGTGGGGTTCCAGGACGGACAAAGGCTTCCCCGCTTTTGGGGCCTGGATTCAACCGTTTTTTAGTTGGGAACCCAAACAGAAAGGAACCGCCACGAGCATGCTACTGACCAACTGGCTTCGCAGCGGTGCCACTGGGGCGGGAGCAAAAGTCGGTATACATTGCGTCTTTTGTCTCACTGCCATACCTGAGGCGAGGTAAGCCAAAGGCGAATTGAAATCTGCGCGGTGAAAAAGATGTGCCCAGAAATCTGCGATGCCAAAGCAAGATTGTCCACCTCCATGAGTGTGTCACTTGACTTTGGGGGATTCCCTTGGCATGACAAAACGTGCCAACCACAACCCGACAATTCTCCATAACCAGGGATCTAGTTGGATGAATGGTGGCAACGCCTCCGTTTTTGCTCCTTCCTTGCCGTTTCGCGCTGCTGCTGGCTCCGACCAGTAGCACGTTCCTCACCTTCGTGCGGAAGCTCCCCCCCCACTCCCCCCCTCGCAACCCTTAACCCAGCCTTCTCCTCGGTCTGGTTGTGGGCCTCGCCTGGGCTAAGGGCTCTCACTCGATCGGTTCCACATTTGATCAAAGCCCCGGGCCCCGTGACTCTCTACAGCAACTTCTGCCGGCAATAGAAAACAACTTCCCACGAAAATCAAAAGATTCCCACAACCCAATTTCCCGGTTTGCCAGACCAGTCGACCCCAGACGAAGTCGAACCCCGAAAAGCGATCCGCATCTCTTGACTGAGACACCCCACATTCAAAAATCGCCCGGGTTTGATCTTGGATTCGCATTGGTACCGTAGGCCATCCAGTTCAGATCCGCCCACCGGCCGGAAATACAAAGGGAGACCTCATGTTCCTTTCATCACCCAAGCGATTGATCCTTGCATCCGTTTGCCCCCTTTGTGGTAGGTTGCGAATTCTGACGTCGAAAACCCCTGGAAGCCCAGCAATTGATGGATGAGTGGTCCAAGCGCGCGTCGAAGTGGCGATCAACGTTGATCCTCTTGGGGACACAACCTCTGACCAGGCCAAGGGAGAATGGTTGGTATATATCCAGCCAACCGCTGCACAAGGGGTATGTGTTCAAGTCCCTTAGCTTGGAAGCAGTGGACACCATCTTAGAGGTGCTTCATTTGTTTCTCTGACCAAAACCTGCTTGCGGGTTTACGTGGATAGTCAAGTCTCACCAAGCCCGCTGCAAGTCGATATTACCTGGCAGATTGGAAGCTTCGGGTTTCCGGTGCCCCCTGAAATTGATTCAACGTCACCCCCGTGGCCACCTACGCTCGCAACAAGAATCTCTTGGGAAGCCACCCTTAGGCCCTTCCTGCCTTTCGCAGTCTTTGACAATGAGGCCAAGAAAAAGAACGAAGCTTCAAACTGGCCGGGTTGCGAAAAATCGCAACCCAAGTGTCCATGACACGGACGGCGTTTTCCTGCCCGTCTCCTTCACCAGGCACCTTCCCTCATGTAACCGTCAACATCCTGACCCAGAAAACCCCGATGGCATAGCTTAAAGAAGTGGAGCATTGTGCAGAGATATGGGAAATCTGACAGTGTACCTGTGATTTGGGCCATTTAGGGGTTTAAGAAGACCTCAAACCCCCAAGATCGGCGTACCAACTGCAACAAAGACATACCGATCCCTCGGAATGACGGCACGTTCCACCAATGGCACGTTCCACCAATGAGCGACAAAGCCTCTGGAATATGGGTGTGGCATCAACTAGGGGATCCCTAGAATAGTGGGTGGTCCTCTGGTTGTCCTGCAAAACGACCCAAGAACAGCACCCTCAAGAAAAGACACCATATCGAAGACCTGCATCGTCCGCATGGCCGTTGTTCATGGCCGGCTTCCGGATGGCAGAATATATGCGGTGGATAAAACAGATCTGGGTAAAAAGGGTGAGTACTCCAAGCGATTGACTATCGTGAAGGTTTAAGTTGCTCCCCAATGACAAAACTGCGTTTCAAAATTATCCAGCTCCCGATGCTGCATGAGCATTCGGCCAATACCAAACCAACACTACGGGTTTCCCCGTCAAAGAAACCCAATCTCTACATAGCCCACAGGTTGATATTCAGGGAAATACACGGAACCTAAATACCAGCTGAAAGGGCACGGGCCATGTAACCTGCACCCCCTCCCCCAACTCTTTCCAAACCAACCTCCCCACACACCCCGCGTTTCAAAAACAACAACTAAAAGAAGGTGGTTGCAAAATAGATTTTCATCCTAGGGTAGTCAAAATACTACCTTCTTTTGTGAGTCACCATCATAGGGTATCGTGGCGGTTGCACCTTGGTTGCGTCCCATGATCCTCTCCCCTCCCAAAGAAAGCCTTCGCCATGATGTTCCGCGTGATCCTCGTCCTCCGCTGGGTCGCCCTCGGATGGGCGGATCGATCGCTTTCGCATCGAAGGCGCCCAGACCCCCGCCTTTCCAAGGACAAAAAGGCCAAAGTGTCCGGCGTCAAGTCTGAAGCTTCATGAACGTGGGAGCAGTTTTCGTTTATTGGTTCGAGCGAACTTCGGGAAGTGTCGACATGTTATTTACAAAGGAAGAAACGTTTTAAGCCCTGGTTCCTACAGTGTGGTGTGATTGTCAGCGTTCCTACTATTGATGGCCTGAACCGAAATTGGGGCACCTCAAAAATTGGGTTCCAATGTTGATTGGCCGGATTGTCTGCTTCCTTCAAAGTGACTGTTGTCGAAACAGTGTTCCCTGAAATGCATAACTCCTAGAATAGTTGTGCTCCTAATTCCTCAAATTCGCAACTTGTTAGAATTGGTTGTTTTCAAATTGTCACGCACCCAAAAAGTCACCGTTTCCTATCACCTGGTGCTGTTGAAAAATCGGGCGTTGCAACCTCGCAATATCAGGGGAACCAACCCTGCCAGGTGGTCGGGTTTGAGATTTCCTTGGGAACCGGGCAAGAGGAAGTGGTCAGCTTTGGGAAACAGCCAAGGGTGTCCCCTTGACGACCTCGTTTTCCCTTGGCCCAGAGCTTCTGGCACTCGAGTCGTCAAATCGACACCGGGGTAACCTGTAAACGAGAAGGACCGAGATATCTATATGTATATACATATATACAATTGAAATATATATATATATAATATATATATATAATATATATAATATATATATATATATATATATATGTATATAATATATATATATATATATATATTGGGGAAAACAAAATACATGTGCTCAAGGCTAGAACTGTCCCCTACCTTCCACCCGTTCTGAAAAAGTGGCTCACAGGACTGGGAGCTCCTTCTGCCATGAATTTCAAGAGTTGGAACCTCAAAAGTGAGGTAGGTGGCTCATGAATCGGCTGTGGCTCAAAAACCCGGAATTCCGACATGGGTTGCCCTGGTAAGTTGGACCAAAACCTGCGGTTTGCCCCTCCGATCGGTTCATTTTGAGCCACACCCAATCCCCACCGAATTCTGTCCACCAAAGGGGCCCGATGCTGAAAATTCCTAGCCATATGCTGGTACCAGGATTCCTGACCCAAAAATTAAATTTGTGGAACGCCTCGAGTTGTTCGTTCTAAACGAGCCAGTTGTGTTGAGGATTAAGAGTTCACAACAGCAGGCCCCTTGGTCCGTGCCAGGACGTACCAAACAAATCACTGGAGCATTGACAGCGGATATACCGACTAGACGGGCAAGATATCCAGCCCAGAGGCTTTAGTGCGTCTCCAGATTTTGTCCCCAACCCACCAAACGGGGAACGTCTGACAGTCCCTGGATCAGATTGCGATGGTTGAGGGAGCTCAAAAAACTATCCCTCAAGGCGCTACCATCCACATCCCCAAATCACCAGGTTATCCTCCTTCCCTTTCCCTTCAAGAGGAAATTGATCTTTCAGGTACAGGCGCCATTGGGCCATGTGAGTGGAAGGAGTGGAATTTGTCAGGTGGGGTGCCCGTCACAATTGGGTCTCCAGCTGTTAATAGGAGACCTGAACAGACTCACAACCGTTTGGTTCCCGTTTTTTAGATGGGTGCCTGTGAAAATATGGGTCCCCCAAAATATGTTTTTCCTTTGGTTCCCCTTCGACAAGCCGGTCCGCCATTTTGATAATAGACATAACCGCAGGGTCTGTTTTTTTGTTTTTTTTTTTTAGTTTTGGCACCCTGCTGCTTATGGTCAAAATGATGCGGCTACATAAAGGACATGCGGGAGATCGTGAATCTTGAGCAAGCCCACCCATGTCCCTCCCCAATTCTCCTAGGATTCCTGATACTTGCTTGCCGAACCTCTGGGTATGACAAAGGGAACCCAACCTGGGGGCCAGGAACTTCAACCCCCGTCAACGGGCCACAGAAAGGTGAGGGAACCTCCAAAGAGCCGCACCCTCTGGTGGTCATGGTGCCCTGTACCATGATTCTTTACAATCCCTAAAGGGGTTGATGACAATCCCCACCAACCCCAAGCAGATGAGCCTGCCAACCATGGCAGATCTGAAGTAACCCCAATTCATCCCAAACCCCAGGCAAGGAGGTCTCTTCATCTGTTACTCATGCCTGTCGCCCCGAATCGTGGTCTTGACCCCATGACACTCGGCCCGCGGCTGTTCCGACGCTGTTGGCCTCAACGGACCGGCGGGGATCAGCAACGAACCTCCAACACAAGACATGCTGTACCTCAGCTTCCCTCCGATTTGTGGTTTGGAGTTGGTATTGGAGGCTAGGAGGTGATTGTCCATCTAGCCTCTACAAGAATTAGCGGCTCAGTTCCCCAATCCACCAATCCGGGTAGCCTGAATACTCGAGTAAATCATGCCCCGACTGTGGTGTGGGTTGCCTCAAACAATGGGACCCAAAACCCCAATTACAAGACCTCCGGAAACACACCGGCACGAACATAGGTCTTTGCCTTGAACAAAACCAAACATTGGCGTCCTCGGGGGTTGGCACATACTGGTAAATGCCGAGATTCTAGAGGAAGACATCTGGTCATGGGTCAAAATCCCACATAGCCCCCAGTGAGCATCCCAATCCCCAAGGATCTAAAATTGGGGGGTGAATTCACCGACCAACCACCAAAACGGTTTTGACCACCACAGCCATGTGAGAACTTGCTGGGTGTACTCGGATGCTGAAAAGCACCCAAGCTGCCTCAAGAGACCAATTGGATCTCCCAAAAATAAAGTGTCTTTCTTTAAGAGTACCCTTTTTGGTTTGTGTTTAAAGGGAAGCCAAAAGCACCCACTATACGGGTTCCCCTATTTTGGAGGCAACCCGATTTCTTTGGAGGGAAACCTGACAAGAGAAGCACCAACTTCTGAACCAAACGACCGGCGGGCTGCCGCTTGCCCATCTCGCATTTTCGTCCCTATCATCAAACACCGACCAAAGAGGTGGTCATGTCAAATTGCCAGGTTCTAACTATATCTGCAGCCTTTAAACTTCAAACATCCCCAATCCGACCAGGAACTAGGTCCTCCAGTAGAGAGGATAGAATGTGGGTACCGTTTTTCTGTAGTCTATTTTAGTAGGGGAACCCTCCCAACCAAAAAATGAACGGTCAAAGAGCACCTAGCTGGGGACCTAGGAAATAAGAAGCCTTTCCAAACGCCGGCGGAAAAAAGCCGCCGGCACCTCCCGGGGCCCCGGCTGCTTCTCCGGCATTGCTGCCGGAGGGGCCATCGTGCCTACCGTCCTCAGCCGTGGCGACCGGTGGTCGTGCCCCACTCGCGTTTTGGTGTTGGGACCTTTGGGCCCCTTTAGAGAGAGAGCGAGAGAGAAAGCAAAAGAAAAAGATAAAGAGAGAGAGAGAGAGAGAGAAAGAGAAAGAAAAGGAGAAAGAGAAAGAGAAAGAGAAAGAGAAAGAGAAAGAGAAAGAGAAAGAAAGGAGAGAGGACCAAGGAGAAAAACAAAATGGCTGTGTGTCAAATCTACTGGGATCCCTTTTTTTTTGGGGGGGGGGGGTGCACCACCCATTTTAGAACCTATTTCAGTGGGGATGGGGATGTTCACTGGGGGTACGGGATTTTGACCCATGGCCAAATTGCTCCAGAGTAAGGTCCCTCCAACAGGGTGAGTCATGAAAACATGAGCCATCCTCGAAGTCTTGGAGTCTTGGTCTCAGCACACGCGACCGAAATCAGGTTCCAAGGGCCGGAAGTCGACGCGGCCCCGAGCGCCGCGCTGCCCGGTCTTCAGAATGGACCTGAGCGGGAAAAGTCTCCGTGAAGAAAAGGCTGTCACAAACATAGCTGCCCTTTTGGTGAAGTAGCTGGACATAGCTGAGGATGGCTCCATAGGTGGCCTTTTGGTTAAACATAGATGGATTTCCCGCGTAAATCGGGTATATGAAGCAAAACCAATCTAAACCAGCGCCATCTATTTCTATCCAAACTGACCTAAAAAGGACACCTATGGTCACCAAATGTCAGGTTCCGCCGGAAGTTCCTTTGAGCCCCCGTGCGGCACCCTCTGTGGTGCTTGTGGCAGTGGAAAACACCTCAAACGACTGGCCGGCAAGCGTCTTGGCTGCACTCTCGGCTGCACCTGCGACCCCTTTTCCTCATGCCCAGACCTGCAAGGCTTTGAATACCACTAGGGATCCCTCCAAAAGCCAAGCGTACCTGAAACGGGGTCACAAAAGGGGCCCACAAAGGAACCCCCAACAGGTGTCAACACCTTCAGAGAGTTCTCCGCTTGATTTCGCGAGAACACTCAAAGACTCAGCCGCCCGCGGCTCCGGAAACTGAGCGTGCCTGACGGGTGTCAAAAGCGCAAGAAGGATGCAGATCCTTGCAGCCATACTGTGGACGAACGAAATCCTGCACCACTTTGAAACCATGGGAAACCCTTGTTTGGTGGTATTTACAGGGGAGTCATCATTCCAGGTTTCTTAGGTGGTGCAGGATTTCGTCAATCCAAAGTACCTCCTTTATGTTCATCTATGTATTGAAGAATTCATCCATAGTCCACTATGTATTGATTTACATATTTTGTTGATCTCATCTGTTACTTTGTTCTATCTATTCATTCATCCATTCATTGATTTATTTATCTGCTTCTTCTTCCTCTCTTTTTTTTTTGGGGGGGGGGGGGGCGGGGGGAGGAGCAACAACTGTCGGACGCTCCCATGCACTGTTGACCCCACATAAGGCATCAGGATCCAGACATGTAAATTCTTGCTTGCGGCACAGTTACTTGCTTGCCAGGTCATAAGGTCAACGGTTGAGCAGGGAACCCGACTGGATAGTTTGACAGAACCTTAGACAAGAACGCACGGGAAGCCACTGGGCCTGCTTGGTGGCTTGCGTAGCACAGACGAAAAAAACAAAGGGTACCAAAAGGTCGCCAACTTTTCGGGGGCACGCTTGGGCTCGTTGCGGGCATGTACATCTGTGGATCTTTGCCAGGGTCATGACTGACCTCTGGGCCCTCTGGCCCAATGTCGGCCGGCGGCGAGACATCTGGCTTGATGAGCCTGTCGCAAAGGCAGGCAGCAGCAGGCCGCAATGTAGGCAGCCAAAGCGTTCCAACAACCCAGGCAAACCCGAACCCTCCTGTTGTGACAGAAGGGGTCAAATGACTACTAACATGTCTGAAGTGTTTTCAACAGCCACCAACAGTTGTCCACGCCCTTCTTGTAGGGATCAGGGAAAGCCATCTTGGTGCGGCTCAAGAAAAAAAGCTGCATCAAGACGTGGATACCAAAGAAAGAAACTGTCAAGGGCTTGGCAAGGGCTTGGCACCCTCAACAGCAGGGCTTCCCTCTGGTCACCCCAAAAGGGGTAGCTTCAGAAACCGACAACCCCAAGAAAGACCGAGCGGTCATGAATCCCCAAGTCATCCGGTCGTCAACGCTCTCTCAGCAAGCAAAATAAAGCGAAGTGATGAAGTCGTTCACCAAAAAACGGCAATGCCAGTGTGCCTCAATTTATGAAAGGCGGTCCACCAACTCGGGACCAAAAGTGGGACCAAACAATGAGCTGACAAGTAGACCAATCACGGGCCCTGGACGGAAATCTTCGAAAACCAAAAAATGGGAAACCCAACATGATGCAAAACCATGTTGGAAACATAGGACAGGTGACACAAAAAAGAAAAGAAAATAAAACATATTTCGACCCTTCGCACCTGAATTAACGGTTAAAAAAACCCGGCGCGCTCGCGTTGACTCTTGCCGCCGGGCAGCAGAAGCAGCTCCTTGCCCGCGTTCCTGAGGTGGGCGAATTGAGACCGTCCACGGGAAGTCGCCCAAGGGGCCAAGCCAACATGTCCAAGCGCCTGACCCCTGGGTTTGGTTTGGACCCGAGGTTTGGTTGGGTTTGGACCTGAGGTTTGGTTGGGTGTGGTTGGGTTTGGGCGCCAATTTCGTGTAGAACTTGGTGCAAGAGGTTGAAACATCCTGCTGCAGGCTTGGGATCTTAACGGGTGGACATGCTTGGGGAATTCCAGACATGACTGTATCACTTCATATTGGCTTCTCTCACAGAAAGTGGCAACCCAAACCCAGCTTTCTACTGCCAATCCAAAGCCACACTGGAAAACGAGTCGGAGCCCCTTCTTGCAAAGCAAAGCCCCCGAGGTGTTTCACGATTGTACATGGAATTTGGACCGAAAAGCCTTTGCTCCCTGGTTTCCCTTTGAACACCCATCCAAAATAATATGTGCCTCCATTTTTCAGACTACCACTCTTTTACTTGAACCGAGCTGTCCCACGTCACCCGCAAGTCCGATCAATCAAGGCTTCTTGACCTGCAATGTAGAACTCTGCCTCTTGTGTACATTCACGAACTAGTCTCTATCAGTCCATGTCCTACCCCCAAGCAAAAGGCGCTTTTGCTGTTCTGGGGTAGCTGCCCCGTTTTTTCCCTCCCAAAACACTCGAAGGACATAGTTGGTTTTCGACAGGAATCATGGTTGCCACCAACGGAATCAACCGCTAGCGTCGAAATCCCCCCCCCCGGAATCGCTACCCAACCCCCTCTCTTTCATCTCAGGAGTTCCCCCCCCAAGCGCCCCCTTTGCGGCGCTGTTCCTTCTGATTCAGAGCCCATGGCTCTGAGCCATTGCCCACTGTTGGTGACTAGTGACTCGGGGGCCAGTGCAGCAAGGACCAAGGGAATTCCTCCGAATGGCCCTCATCAGAAAGCTTTCTCACCCGCCGCATTCCGATATGCCCTGTATCGCAAGCAAGGCACTGCACACCGGTCCCTCGCAAGAGCGTATGCCTCGGCATCGCGATCGCAAAGCTTCTCACCAAAACTGACCAAACTAAGGAGCATACTCCCATGGGTCTGTCTCACTAAGGCAAAATGCGGCTGGGTAGAACTCCTGTTGCATAAAACGGCCTGTCACGCATGGGAAATATGTCGGCGGGCATCAAGACCCATTTGTGGGGTGCCCATTATGGTATGATACACTTTGGACAAGAATACGTGACTGGATCATGTATCTTTGCAAGGTTATTGTTGTGGGTGTTCGGTAAAATTCACAGCCCGAAAGCAGGTCAGCTTTCACCTCGTATTGTACTTGGGCCTCTGTATGTTTAAGGGGCACCTGGATGTGACTCCCAATTGACAATTGCCCGGTGCAGTTGTGAATGTATCATTTGGGGGGGGGTCTCTAGTTTACTAGTTTACAAACCATGCTTGATCCTCTGTCTTTTTGCGTGGGAAGGGCCCCAGGGGTTGCACCATGAACTTTGGGAATTTGAGCGTACCCAACATTCACATCTCAAAAAGCCAAAATGGGTTGCCCTGGTAAGTGGACACATGGACCAAAACCTGCGTAATTGTTGCCCCTCCGATCGGTTCATCTTGAGCCACATCTCAAGGCACCGGCAAAGGCGGGTTGCCCGCATAGCCCTGCGCCACGCCCACGCTCCAAAAGCCCACGCTCCATGTGTCTGAGTGGTTTCCTCGCCCCCAGAGGTGCCAAGGCCAGGGTGAAAAAAAGAACAACTACTACCCATCCCCTTTGCGGCGGCTTCCCCTGCTATTTAGCCTATCCCCGTAAAAAAGACAACAACTACCTATCCCCTTTGTGGTTTCCCTTGCGCTTTTTTTTGGCACCCACATTTGACACATATTAACTTGTACCGGAAGGTATTCACCTTCAAAGCCTCGCCTGCAGGCTGGAAAGGAAGACTGTCCAGTATTTCAATCAGCGACAGAGCGTGATCCCGCACAAAGGCACAAAAACCTACCAGCGAACAAAGGAGATCTGGAAAAAGAACCCTGACGTGGATCCCTCCATGCCCACTTGTACGTTCCTTTGGTGGCAGCACCAATCTTGGGCTGTTTATCTTGTGGTTTAAGCCATGGTTTCAATCACTAGTGTTTCAACCTCCTTCTGGCTTCCGTCTTTAAGAAGCAGAGACTGGTGTATTCAAAACCAAAACTCCCCACCCCTCGCCTCCGTCGTTCCTGGCATTCCGAATGCCTGGCGGAGGCATTCGAAGCCCTCGGCCTTTCAAGCCCAGCAGTGCTCCTTGAAGGATGAAAATCCATTTCTTTAAGTCACCTGGACAAAATAAAGATATGTCCAGTAGTGAGAGATTCCCAGGGGAAAACAAAACATATTCTTAACCAAATGGAAGGATACATCCAAGGGCACTCCGAAATCTGCTGGAAAAAGCATTTTTTTGTTTTTGATCCTTGAGACCCAGAAAACTCGGCTGTCCATGACCAGCCCGCCAACTGGACACTCACACCCCTCTCATCGCCGCTTGCACACCACCAAATAACCGGATCGGTCGTGACTGGCAACAAATAAAACCCTCGCAACACAAAAAGCACATCTGCAGCCAGAAGGAAGCTGGAGAGCCCGCCAGAGCTCACCGGGATCTATTCTTGATATTTGCCTTTGCAGCTTTGCACATCACCCCAAAAGCAAACTCACTTTAAAGTTGGCCCGAAGGGTGATGAATTTAAGATCTCCCCCCCTTCAAGCGGACATATAGAGAAAACATAGGGACACATGAGGAAATATATGGATGCCTATGTGGATATAGGGAAAGATCGGGAAACCTGCGGTGTTGCCCTCCCGCCTCTGTGCCTTTGTGGCCACTCCTCTCCTGGCCATCGACTTGACTCCAGCGGGACCAAATCGTCGAACCAACACTGAACTCGTCGCGACGTTCAACCATATCAATTACATAGGTATATATTATGTAAATATAATATAACATGTATATATATATATACATGGCCAAACAGATTTATGTATAGTGCAAATCTGGACCCTCAAGCCCAGATCCCGAGGCATTTCGCCGCCATGTTCTGTTCAGTCTAAGGGTAACGGAACCACCAAATGACCAAACACATATCTGGGACCAAGGCAAACAAAACGAAAAGGGGCCCAGTCCCAAACAAAAAAATCATCCAAATTGGGGCATAAACCCCATCTAAACCAGTGGAACCCATCTATTTCTTCAACCAAACCAACCGATCAAAGGGACGCCTTCTGCCCCCCAGGACTCCACCACATGCCTTCCGCAGATGGCCATCATAGGCCCTGCCGGCCTGGCAAAAAGCAACCCGAAGGAGTGGCGGCTTCAAATAGGTGCCGTCTTTGTCCTTGGAGTTGCTCTCGTTGTTGCTAGCAGTTTTTGCCTGTTTGTTTGTGTTTGTTTCCGGAGGAAAAAAAAGCAAAAAAACAAAACGGTTCATGTGTTGTTTGTGATTCCCGGCGTTCGTGCTTTTTCCTGCTGCCTGGATGGAAGGTTTGATGGAAGCTCGCCTGCTCCAGCCCGTGTTTTGAACTCCGAGCTAAGCGCTGGGGTTATGAGCCGCGATGTCAGAGAACTAGACTATACTCGCATCTTGCTGTTTCTGCCAGAATGCACTTTTCTGGGAACGGTTTTGAAGCCACAAGCAATATTCAGTGTGCCCCAACTGCCTTGGCGTTTTGAGTAACATGTGTCATGCAAAGTTGCTGAGTATCAATGTCATCCTTTATTACACATGAGCCTCGGACAAAATTACTTGTTTCCCCAAGAGGGCATGTGACAATTGGGTCGCCCGTCGACTAGCTTCTTGGGAGGTTCCTCAAACCTCCTACGCTCTGGCCGCGTGTCAGGTGCCAAAGGCAGAGATACAGCTTCGACTACTGCCAAGTTTTCCGGTTGGTCGACAAACTCCGCAAAAGCTCTGTCAAATCATGGTTAACTTTGACCGTTGCTCAGGAAAGCCGCGACCGAGATCCGGGGCGCGAAAGGCTTTTGCGAGACCCTGCGTGCGTGCCCCACCTCGTATTCTTCCATCAAGTAGGCGCTGTCTGCGGCATGTGCTCCATGTTCCTGACGTGCGGCCAGGACCTTCTGTTTTCACCCGCGAAAGCCGTAGAAAATGGCAACTTAGATCAGCCAACACTGAGGTGTCTTGTAAAAACGGATAGTTCAATCGAGCAAAACAAACATCTTGTGAAGCGCCCAGAATCCATGACCCCAAAAAGAGGGAAACAGCCGAGGGGGAAAAGCCTCTGCTTGGTTTCCTTCGCTCTCGTGCATCCCCCTCTTCACCCTTCTCTTGGCGGAGATTCCGGAGAGGTGAGGAGAGAAGAGACCGATGTTCAGGGTCTTTGGGTGAGGGAGAGCACCACCTGTCCAAGCGGAGCCCATCTAACTGACTCAGGGCTCCTTGCATGCATACGTCTTTTGGATGTGTTGCAAACACTAAACACGAGCAACAGCCAAAAGGCTGCCAAACAAACGAACAACATACCAAGGATAGTGAGCCCCAGGGTGTCCCTTCAGTCTCCGTTTCGGCACAGTCCACTGGTGCACCCGGACTATCTGACTATCTGTCCTCCTCCGTCGACGTTGCCGCCTGATCCGGAAGTCCGGGCAGGATTCGTCTTGTGTTCGTTTCACAACTTGCTTCTTTGGCAGCTAGTTGCCGGTTTGGTTCTCCTTCTGAACATCTCGGCGGCATCCGACAAGCGGTTGCCCAACATAGCTCCCAGGCCACCTTGGAAGATGAGTCTTCCAAAGGGGTCCTAAGAGCTTCCACTTTACAGGGATCCGCATGCATTATACACCTGAACATTGCAACTTGTATATGGTGGTTTCCAGCTTTATCTTGGTGCAAAAGCAACATGTTTCAAGTGGTCGCAAAATGGATATATATTTTAAGGAGCCCTGCTTTATGAGCGAAAGATCGGTCCCCTTGTCTGGGGTGCTCGACGACTCGGGAGCTGAACATATCAAATGGGATGGGATGTCCTGGCCTCATTTCACCTACAAGCACCCCCGCTGGTCTGTGGTGTTCTTCAAAAAAAATGACTCCAGCGGCTGACGTTGAGAACCCCCGGAAATCCAAACAGTACCAAGATCACACCAGATCTTGGGCTCGTGCTCTTGTTTCCCGTGGACTGGGCAAAGCACAAACCGGCCCGGCCCTTCCCTTCAACGAACAAACCGGCCCGGGGCCCCATCCCCCCCCGGTCCAAACGGTCCGCGCGCCTCATCCGTGCTCGAGGCACAGCTGAGACTGGCAGTGGTGCTCGCCTCGCGGAGAAAAATTATCCGTCGACGACCGGCCTCTGGGCTTCTGGTGTGCGAGCTGGGCCCGAAACAAAAGAACGGGCCCCCAAAAAAACCGGACCCCAACAAAAACATGGAAAACACCGGAAAAACGGTGGCGTCCCCAAAAGAAATGCCCCAAAACAACTGGAAAACAGTGGGAACACAAGCCTGCAACGGTGGGAACAATCCATTGGAACAGTTAACATTGGACGCACGCCTGCCCCCTGCTACGTCTTCGTGCGCTCGCGTGTAACTTGCCCTCTTCAAACTTACTAGGGAATTGCAGTGTCAGCTTCAACCTCGCCAATCTGTGATACAACAAAAAAACGGGCCTAACCCCAAAGACTACCCCCCCAACCATATAAAGGGGGGGAGATTCCAACTTGTATCACAGAAGTGGGTGGGGAAAAAAAAACCGAGTGATCAACCACCACCAGCTGTGGGGCTTGGAGCTCAGTCAGGTTCGAGCTGAGAGAGCCCTAGGCTCTAGCTGAAGGCGCCCACTTCGAGTGAGCCGAGCTCCGAGCTCACCCATTGGCTGGTGGTTCTACATGGTTAAGGTGTTTTTTCTGGCCCTTTGCATATCCAGCACACCAAGCAGTTAAACCAGCCACTTAAAATGGCCTCGGAAATTTGTGGGGTTCGGGCGCCGCTCGAGCTTCAGTGTGGGCCGGGTTTGGGTTACTCCCGTGTTTTGCTCAACAAAAAGCCACGTGCGGTAACATCATGGCCTCGGAGCAATGGCGGCCCAATGTGACTTGCTGCCCGAGTAGCCAGACATGCAGACACCAGCCCAGTTGGGATCTGTGATTCGTTCTTTCGCCCTGTTCGTGTTGCCTTTTCGTCCCCTCAGCGGTTTCAATGCAACGTGGGGTGCAAGTGTACCATCGCTTGCAAAAGCCTCATGGCTGGCCTGTGCATTAGACAGACGGGAACATGCAGGGAGATGGCATCCAGTAGTCTAGGGGTTGATTCCCCATTCTTTTCCACCATCGTTCTTTTCAAAAACCAGCTGCTTCCCCTGGGTTTTTGATGGTTTCCTGAAAAGAAGGATCCCTGGAAAGAATGGGGACGATACTCCTAGAAGTAGGGGAAGAAAATCATATCCTTTCCGACTGGCGGCCTTCAATCCTCCCGAAGATCCTTTGATCCATCCCGCTGTGAGGAACGGGATGTGGCAATGATTTCCGTGAAAGGTCGCAACCAGAGGGTGCTGCCTATTGAAGTTCACAGACATGGCGGGCTTCCAGCACGCATTATGACGTCCAAAAATTGCATGCAAAAACAGGTTCTTGTTTCAAGGGCACCTTGGAATTTTGCGACACCCACCATTCTTAACCGTCTACTCCACTTTCCACCATATGGGTGTGTGTCAAAATAGGAGTCGAAATAGGAGTCAACATAGGAGGATCCAGAAATTGGGCGCACTTACCCTCAAAAAACCACACCAGAACTTCCCTGGCTTCCCAACAAGCGGACAGTCCGGCCGCCCAGCCCGCACAGCCCGTCGGTGCGGACCGCCTCACTCAGGCTGTGGGTGCGAACGTTCGGTGTCGTCTCCGCGTCAGGGCGACCTGTAGCCTGCGCCAAGCTTCGCACGCTGGAGCTTCGGAGCGCTGCTGCACAGACCCGCCCAGCCAGAGGGAAGCCAGAGACGAAAACCAGGGGGAAGCCATGTTTCTAGGGGTACCTTCCAATTCCATGCTTTCCAGGGATCTGGATCTTTCTAGAAAACCTTCGGACACCCAGGGAAAACGGCCGGTTTTTTGGGAAAGAAGGATGGTTGAAAAGAATGGGGAAGGAATCCAGATCCCATTTTGAGACCCCACATGAGTCAAAACTCCGAAGATGCGGGCCATGGTCACGGTTCCCTCACCAGGAATCCCTTGTCATGGTTGTCTAAACTCCGCGCATGATTCACACGCGTGTTTGAGATTTATGTCTGATTGGAATTTAGCGAGTCGTGTCCCGAAGCCCAAATTGACCATACACTTCTGGATGTGATAAACACCTTCTTGGGAATCCTCTTTGGCTTGCTGCCCAGAACTAAGCCAAGGTTGTGCTAATCAAGTAGGGGCCAACCGATAGAGGGCTTCACACATCCCCTTTTGGTGGGTGACGTTCTTTTGGACCGCCTTTCAAACAAACTAATAAGGGTGGCAACTCCTTACCCATGCCAAATGGGTCTCCTTTTTGAGGGTACCCTTGGTGTGATTGCAAGGTCATGGTTTCGCTTCAAGCAGCCCATGGTGTTTCACAGGAAGCCGCCCCACCCAAAGCGACGCAGATGCCGAACAAAAAAAAAAAGTTGTTGAAAAAAAGACCCGCCACGAGGCCGGCCTTGTTCCCTGCCTCATACTGTCCCCTTTTACAGCAGTTGCAAAAATCCAAAAATGCATCTCTTTTTGAACAGCCCTACGAGATACAGTCAATGTTTGTTGCATGAATGGGAAACGTTGGTGAGTCTCCCAACCAAAAGGGGTCCACCGTTTTGAAGCACTCCCAGGTTTTCCGGTTCGATAGGCAGGGAATGGTGGTTCTTTTGAGGAGATATCCTTTTGGCTCCCAAAACCCTTGCTGCCAGAAAGGCAGTTCGATCAACTTGGGAGTTCCATCGATCAACCGGAGCATTCCATGTGCATTGGTGTTTTGTTTCTTGTTGTTGTTTTTTTTGGGGGGGAGGAGGCGAATCAACGCACCAAATGACCGCTTGAACATCGAACATTTTCCAAGGAGAGCCATCTGCCTCCGCCACGGACGGCGCCGGTATCGCGATCGGTCGTTGTGGCAAGTGGTCATAGACCTGGCTCCAGAGTCGCTGCCACCGATGCTCGGGGGACACAACCGACCACGTGTCAAAAACCGCCCACTCCAAAAAGGAGAAACGATGGCTGTCCTTTTGAAAAAAGAAAGGGGTGCCCTCCAAAATCGGAACCACCACCCATGTGCATGCATGGTGTCCTGGGCGTAAGAGAGCGCAAGAACGTCCACCCCAAACGTCCCTCGAATTTCGAATCTGGGCTGTTCAAAATGCAGGGTTGGCCAATCCTAATCCATAGTCCCTATAACAAAAGCCACTACAAAGGCAACCGGTTCCTCGCACAATTAACCCATAAGGATTCAGGAATTTCCCCTTTTAACCTGCGTCTTTTGGTGCCAGTCCCCTGGGATTTTCTTCCCCCCAACCGCCCCAACAACGAACCGAATCGCCGATGACGCGAACCGGCCGCGCCCGAATCGCCGTGCGCCCGGGACTGGATCCCGGTTCGCCGTCCGCAGATGGTTCCTGGCGCAAGGCTCAGCCAAGGCGGTCCGGCAGGCGAAAAAAGTCGGGCCCCGTGACTGGGTCCTCCAGAGTTGAGAGGTTAGGGTTTAGGGCTAAAGTTTAGGGTACCATATTTTGTCCTGCTTGTGTTTTTGTTTTCTGTAGTCTATTCTTGTAGGGGAACCCTCCCCCAACAAAGAAACGGTAAAAAGGCACCTAGCTGGGGGACTTGTAGGTGATGAGTTGAAGGGAACCTCTCACAGTTGCTGATAGGTGCCCTGTTGCGGGGGGGGGGGGGGGGGCAGCACCGGAAAACCCGGCACCAGCGTCAAACAATGTCCGGGAGGCACCTCAAAGGGGAGCTGGCTGTTGGAAGTTGTGGTCCCTTCTCCCTAATGCTAAACGTACCTCTAATACTAAAACCGACTATTGAAAATCTCAATCCGGGAATACTACTGTTGGAATAGCCAATACTGAACCAATTCTAAAGTAGGTATTTTCCTGCCCGTGCCCAATTAGGGGGACGACCCAGGAATGCGTTTCCTTACTACGGCTGTACTACAAAGTTGCGACTTTCGAGCCGGAGCTCCGGGAGTACGGTTCTCCGAAAACGAACCGGGGAGCTCCTAACGCTAAAACCGTTTTTCCTTGGGGGACCGGACCCACTTAGTATTAGGGGGGGGGGTTAGCGTTCGGAGAAAGGGATTCAGGATTGAGCCGGAAACAAAGACAAGCGGGTGACCCGAAAATGAACAAAGACAACGGCAAGCACCCCTCACCCCCTGCAACCCTGAAAAGGGTTGCTGCTGCAATACCAGATCAAACAACACTCATATCCCATCACAAAAACAAGCTTGAGCAATACTCGACCATTGAACTGACCCTCAAGATGACAATCCAGACACCTCCTTCGTTGACTCGCCGGTGCCTCTTTGGTCTCCTTTGGCGGTGGCAGCCCAAATCCTAAGGCAAATGGAGCCGCACGTGAACAGCAGAGAGAGTTCTGTGGTCTTTCTTGTGGTTTTTCTGGGCGCCGTGTGGTAATTTGGCCGCGCCCCTCACAGCAAAAACCAAAAAAACACCTTTTTGGGTTTGCTTTGACATGTAGACAAACGAGGAACCGGATTCCCCCAAAGCGGGCCAAAAATATCGAGCAAACCATTTTTGGGATGGTGCTCCGGTCATTCCCGTCCCTGAATTCCCACATTGGTGCAACTGGTATGTGGTACCGGCCAAAATGCTGGCCTTGCTCGTGATTCGGAGCACAAAACCCCCCCCGCCCAAGCAGAAAGTGCGGCCCTGTCTGGGCTCGCGGGCGTACGGGCTCCTGCCTTTGCAAGCGCATGTAGGTCTCCTGCCATCGAAAACCATCTGACCGCGGAGGTGGGACCGATCGAGAGACCAGCAAACTTCTCCGGTTCATTGGACCCATCATTCTTGGAGACACCCATTTGGGTATGGCTCAAAATGAAACGATCGGAGGGGCAAACCGCAGGTTTTGTTCCATGTTTCCACTTGCCAAGGTTCCATTTTGGTACCGGATTTTTGAGCCACAGCCATTTAATAGAATCTCTGGCTGAGCGCTTCATCTCAGCAAGCCGAAAGATCCAGTGGCGAAGGGAAGTAAGATCCCTTTTGTGGTGACTGTAGTTGGAGATTTCAGCGATCCAGTTTGAACAGCGTATTCTGCAGATTTCGAGACGCTGCCGGGTCAAAGGTTGCCGTTTGGAAAATGCGAAGGTACACCTCCCAAGGCGCCCACAAATGAACCGAAAAGAGGGAAACCAAAACGGACCACTACGAAAAGACTTTGACTTGTGGGTCAATTGGAACCCCGGACTAAACCAACTCGACACAAAAATGTTCTAAGGAGCCGGACGACTTGGGACTAAAGCTGCAAGCCCCACACGGGACACCAGGCCTACCAAGGATTTTTCTGGCGGTGCTTCAGATTCCCCCCATGAAATCCCCCCAAAAAACATCACCCCAAGAGAAAGCTCATCCAAAAAAAACTATCTTTGAGGGGTAGCCGGATGGTAGGCAGATTTTTCAAGGGAACCCAACAGGGAAAAACCGCCATATGTTGGGGATCTCCCGATTTTCTGAGACACTTTTTTTTTGCACCTCCGACCGTCGGAAGCTCCTGAAGCGCCCTGCGCAGCTGCATCTCCTGCGCGGGACATGTCTCCAAAGGGCCTTGGAGCCCCCTACTGTGGATGGACGAAATCCTGCCCAGCCAAATTGGGCTGCGCTTGCCAGGCTGCCATGTCTCAAAATTGACCATGGAGCAATTTGGGGTGCAGTCAGATGGTTTTCTTTCAGCCTCTATAGTTTACCAGGTTTGTGCACACGGATTTTAGCTGAATTGATGGCTGTGGCAAGCATATCGGCTGTGGTGAATGTGTTGGAGCCGAACAATAGCGAAATCAAAATACCTGGACAAACCAGTTGCGAACTTCCCCGAACCTGGGCTTCACTCTACCTTGGGATTTGCTCAACAAACGGAATTGTTTAGGATTTGCTCAACAAACGGAATGCTGGCTCTTGCATCCCCGTACACATCCATCCAAACGCCAGCAAACATTCCGAGCCGACGCGAGCGATTCGAATCGGCCTGAAGCGGCTCGAAGCGTGCGACTCGAATCGGCGTCTCCTGCACCTCTCCCAGCACGCAATTCAAATTCCGCGTCTCATCCACAGGATCCTCACCGAACATTCGAGTTTCTTCAGGCTGAGGGCTGGGAATGAGCGCAACCCCATCTCTCCGTCTCTCTTCTCTGCGGGAAAACGAGAATCCAAGAAAAAGCCACAAGCAGAGGTAGCCTTTTAGGGGAAATAGATGGGGTTCCCTGGTGGATGAAATTAAACCACCGGGCAAACCAGAAATCGCATTCTACTTTTGAGCAGAACAACCAAAAAGGAAACAAGACGCCGGCAAAAGAAAAGCGAGATGGGAGACGTTCAAAGCTTCTCCTCCACATGCAGCCGCTGGAAATTCCTGGCCGGCCAGGCAGTTGGGCTTGTCATTCAACCATCGCAACATATGGCTGTGGGTCAAAACCAATAGGGTCCCATTTTGGGGTAGGTGCACCACCCATTTTAGTCTATCTTAGTGGGGATTGGGATGTTCACTAAGATGTTCACATCTCAACATATGGGTATGGGTCAAAATTAAACTACCAGGGGACCGCAGGTTTTAGTCCATGCTTTCATTTACCAGGGTTCCATTTCGGGTACCTACTTTTGACCAACAGCCATATCGCTAGCCTCATCTGAAACCAGAACGATCCTCGCTACAGTTCCTAGCGTCGAGCAACGTTGCCCATGCCCAAGACACCCAAACAGCCCCATCCCCTTCAGCAACTCAGCGACAAGCGATTCCCTCCCCAGCCTGCCCTTCAGCTTCTGCACAAACTGCTCGCTGGTGTCAAGCCGGTAGAAACCATGACGGACCGACACCACCTCGCCGCGCCACTCGAAGGGTCAAATGGGCCGTGCGGCGTGCCCCATTGAACCGTTTGCTTCGAAAAAACCACTCCCGCACCAAACCGGGGTGCATACCTTCGATGCGAGATTCCGTATGCTGTCCAGAGGGAAGCATATCTACCCTCGGGAAGCCAACTGTTTGGTGCTGGGGCCATGCAAGGTAGACCCTTTTGCTTCAGCCTGGCGCAAACACGTTGGAGTCTACCCCACAAATCTTGGTTGCTTTCTGCTCCCCTGCTAAAAGTTCAACTTTTAGTGGTTTAATGAAAACCCATCAGTTGGCAAAAAGTTAAATTCCTGACATCCAAGCAAAATGCAACAAAGAAATCCACATCCATCCACACCCAACCCCAATTCGGTTTTGCACCATTCCAAAGGTGGTTGATCCAATGTCCGCAAGCCGCGGCTTGAGCGGAAAAACGCGCTCGGGGAAGGAGGGTGAGTCACAAATTTGTCGGAGCAATCTCCGCGACGCCTCCCCAAGACTCCTGCACTACAGCGCTGACTCTGTATGTCTCTCTCTCTCTCTCTCTCCATCTCTCGTATATATATATATATATGTACATATATATATATATATGTATGTATGTTGTGCATAGAAACATAATATGTATCCTGCTCTTTCAGTCTCTCCCCGCCTCATGCCCCCAGGAAAATTCCTGGCCAACGCGATGCGCGAAGGGTCCATGAATAAAGCAGAGTCGCTTGCAATCTTTCTGGTGTCCCTTTGATTTGGGAATGAACCTGTTGGGACTTCGAAGGTTTCCCAAGAGTGGTTTCAGAATTCACCGGTTGAGACTCAAGGAAGCACCACTTTGGGATCTCGGCCACTGGAGGCAGGCGTTCGTGTTCCGGAGGGAACTGAGAGCTGTCAGTCTGCCCGCGCCTGACTGTAGAATTGAAAGAAACGAAGGACCATCTGCCCAAGACTGAGGGCGCCTCGGTCCGAGCGAGCGCCCAACAGGAAGGAGGAGAAAACCACCTGAAAGGTACCCCAATCTTAATTCGAGACATCCCCCATACTGTTCCGAAACAAGATGGCCACTGGACAGCCACCTCGGAAAAATAACGTTGGCAAACATGCCAACCGGAGACCAAGCTGAGTCTTAATCAAAACCCGGTACTAGAATAGATGAGAGTCATGTGAGGCAATACAAAGGACGGCGGAATTCCGTGGCGGTTTCTGGCTGGGACTCTCTTTAACCTTCATCTACCGGTTTTGAGCAGGTGGCTCAGCTGTGGCTCTGAAAACCCCCCCAAACCCCCTCGACCGCTTCAACCCGCCGAAATCGAGACGAGCCGCAAGTCCAGGAGCTGCGGGCTGCCGCGACCTTCTGCTCTGCATCCGCGCCATTCTCCTCGAAGGATGGACGGCCGGAAGCAAAGCTGGGCTTTGAATGGACTGGCTGTGTTATTGAGATGGACCGCAAAACTGGATCGACTGTACTGTTCAGATGGGCTGTCCTTTGAAACGGGTTCTTCTGCTTGTCTCAGCTGAACAGCCTGATGCCCCCAACGTTGCGGGAAAGAAAAACCCCAAACTGCCGCTTCTGGAAGCACCAGCGGCTTGCGACCAGAAACAAAGCCAGCGACAAAAGTCTTTGGCCAGTGAGGCATACTCCACTCACGTGAAAAACGTGATGCGAACCACGGGAAATCACGGGTCCCACTTCTTCGTCCCTGTTTTTTCACCACATCGCGCTTGTCGCAGCGGCGCGGCGCAAACGTAGCGCGCCACGGTTTGGTCCTTGAAAACGGCCACAGGCAGCATGGGAAGCTTGATCTTCGGATGAACCTGTCCATGGACGCAGGATCTGTCTCTAAATGAGCTCGTATTGGTTTGGGACATGCATCGCATAGCCATTCCTTGCTTGCAAGCCGAAGCTGGCCATTTCTGACATGCTCGGAATTTTGCTCCAGCCTGCATGAAGTAGATAGCCATCAATGTCAGAGCATAGGAGGACAAGTGGGATTGGGATGCTCCACACACTTCGTTGGCCTGCGTGGCGGGAAGAAAGCGGCAAAAGCGAGGCGATTCGCTCACAAGGGAGAAGGAGAAGACAAGAAGCATCCGGCATGCCCCAGAGTCGGATGCGTGGATTACAAAGCCTTGATCGAGAACCCGTACATCAAGGTCCCTTATGCTCTCTCTCTCTCTCTCTCTCTCTCTTTTTCGTCGTCGCGCGTCGTTCAGAAAGCCGGAAGCATAAGAGCGCGATCTCCAGATCTCCGGCCTTCGCCCAGAGCTTCACTGTAATCACGAGATCCCGAACCCTCTTGTCCAAGCTCGAATAGGCCTGGCGCGCCATGACTTCAGGCGCTGGCCACTCGGCCGCTCCCCGCGCCTTGAGTAGCTTGGTGTTCTGCAGCGGTAGAGTATTGTGGCACGAGAGATCTACCTGCAAGATCCGACACAGAGGTGGCTGAACCTATCTGTTGCGGGGATATCTCATTGGGACACAGACTCACATACAAAGAAAACGATGCCCTGTCAGTCTGCCGCTGCAATGAAATGCCACCCCAGCACAACCCTCTGCAACAAGTCGCCTATGGGAAAATTCAAGGTAGTTGGGCGTGCTGCAAACTTAGTCAGCCACAAAACGGCTATTGCTTCCTTTTTGAAACCATCCAACAAAGGTTAGCCCAAAACAGACAGACCCAATATCTCTCACCCCTGGCGCCCCTGGCGCCCCTCGTCCGAACGACTCGCTTCCGCCGGCCTCCAACTTACCCTCAAAGCAAAGCTTTAGGATGGGCACGCGAGCGTGTAAAACCTGGCCGCGCCGCGAAGTCGTGACCGTTTTTGGGCCCCGTGGGAAGTTGGGCAATTGGCGACTTGTCTTTTTCTTGGTGCAAAGCCGACCAGCTCCTCACCAAAGCCAAGGGGAAAGAACCAAGTTCAAGCTTTGCAAGCCTTTGGTTGGTTGGTCGGTTGGCTGGTTGATTGGTGGGTGGGTTGATTGGTTGGTCGGTTGGTTGGTTGGTTGGCAGCAGTGGGTATGCTGGGTGAGTGTGAACAGCGCCAAAAGGGATAGACTCCCGTAAAATATCTTCGCACGCCTTTCTTGCAGTCGCCCAAGCGACCTCTCCAAGTCTTGAAAGTCCTAAATCACAAGCACGAAGCATCATCTGAGTCTGGTACCCTCCCATCAACAAACATGATTTGATGCGCGGACGTGTCTGCCAGACAACTTTTCCTGTGTGAAAAAGTGCCACTTTCCACCAAATCACGTTCGTTGGAAGGGTGGAAAGGTGTAAGACTGCCAGCCCTCCCACTTGACGCAAAGAGATGCCCCTACAAATCTGCGGTGCAGCAATCTCTTTTTGGGTTCGCTCAATGTGAAGGGTCTGGACAGTTGAAGGTGGTGACACACAGGGTGACGTTACGTTGCAAAATATCTTGCAAACTAGGCCTTCCCGCCATTCATATTGACAGTCGCGGCTTGGCTAAAACGCTTCTCGGCCATAGCCCGCCAGAAATAATCCTCCACTGCGGGAGAATCAAACTCATCAAATGGGTCCAAACCACGCCGTGCGTTGCATGGGGTTCGCACACCTGACAAACATCACACAGGGCCCTTTCTGCACGGATGTGTGCTCGCTTCAACTCCAATAGCCCAATGAAACCAACGTCCAAGTTCCGGTTTGTCAGATAAAAAACGCATGTTTCTGTGCATGTACATATAACCATGGGGTGTGCAAAAACAAAAAGCATGGGCTGGATGCTTACAACCTGTGTTTTTTTCAAAAACAAACAACATTGGGCCTTAAAAAAGAAGAAGAAGAAGAAGAAACAATGAAAAACGTTTACCCCCAAAAAAAAAACGTGCGTTCTCAGATTGCCGGTCGTGCTCCCCACCTCCTGAGCCATGGTGAACTGCGGGTGCTCCCGCAGAAGCGGGGCAAGGCGCTCGCCTGGCCGAGTCCCCCGGCCCTCGTGTCTGGGCGGGTCTCGCTTTGGCTTGAGGGCGTAGCCCCTCCTTTGTGGTTTCGAAGGAAAGCCAAAGAAGGATGACCACTATGGAAAAGAATGGGGTGGGGGGGTCCCAAAAAAAAATGAGGACACGCCCAAACAAAATGCCCAATCGCGGCCCATGTCCCTGCCGATCTCTTGCCGAGCGCCCGCTCGGGGTCCAAGAGAAGCGTGCCGGAACCGCCCAGAATTTCCGATGCTGGCTGCTTCTGTTCTTCCTCCTGGCGACGTTCCAATCCCGTTCCTTCAATCAAGCAAATGAGCAAATGGAGAAGCTAAACCTGGTTTGAGACCTGGCCTGACCATGGCCGGAGACTCCAAGCTCTATGACCTTGCCACTGTTTGTCAGGGAGTATCCAACCAAATGCCGCCTTGAAAGTGACCCCATTCAAATCCAGATCAAGGACGCGCGGCGAACACGTGTCCCGACAGTTCGCGTGCCTCCTCATTCTCCTCCCGCACCGCATAGCATGTTGCATCAAGATCCGAGAACTGGCGAGGTGACTGCAGAACCCAAGCACCCAAGCGCGCGCCGAGTCTTGTGACACGTGCCCATAGCTACCCAACATCGGATCGCTCAACTCCTTGGCTCGACTTGAAATCATCCAAACCTGACTATATGTCAAGGGATTGGACAGGGCTCCCCTCGTTCCCCCCTAAACATCACCCGAAAAGGAAAAACTCATCTACAGCAACAAATGGTGAGGCTTTTGCGGGCTGAAGATGGGTGTGTCATTTTTGTGGGAACACATTTTTGATTTCAAGCGGCCCTTAAAGTGCAAAACAGCACTGCTGTTTCTGTGTTCCATCGAGTTTCCTTTCTTTCACGGTCATGGCTCCCCAAAGCACCCGTACAAAGGCAGCCGTGTGCCCCTCCTTTAAGCTTGTCGTTCTTTGGGCCTTTTGAGACTTGGTCCACATGAGCCACAATGCCAGGCGCAGCCAATGAGGGTTCTGCCCGTGTCCCAAATCCATCCAGCGAAAATCCAGCGGGGATCCGCTCACCTTCGTGCCATAGCCATTGGCGACGCTGCCAAAAGGGCGCACGCGCCAAGTCGGGCCCATGTCTTGCGCGACTTCCTGCGAGAAGCTGGGTGTTCGAGAGTCGAAGGAGCCGGCGGATTTGGAGTGGCTCCTTCGGCTGAGATAGGCCCAAAGGTGTTAGTTTTGAACCAGGATGAATGAACTCTCTGCTTCATTGTTTAAGCGAGAAACCCTTGACTTTCTTCTTTTGGGCGGGGGGCGGGGGGGGAACACACTCGTATTGACTCCGCCAGGTTTATTCACCCGAGGTCAACCTTCGGCCCCGAGACCCTTCTGGGTGTGGCTGTGTCTGCTTGGTGTCCACACAAAAAAATCGGGGGCATTCTCATCCAAGTCAGGTGGAGTCAAAGGATCCAACTCAGGAGCCCAAGGGCCAAGTTTCAAGCATCCTGTTGGTAAGGTGATCTGAGAAGCTGGAAAGATCTATTGCACCCTGACTCGGGTGTGCGTGAAAGAAGAAACCAACCGTTAGTTGCGGGACTGGACATCTCTGCATGGTTGTGGCACATACCCTTTCTTGCGATGCCAAAGTCGGAGATCCCCTTGGTAGCACAAACAGTGACAACCACAAGTCCGCAACTCTCGACAACCCTGAACATCTCTGTGGCAAAGAGCATGTCGAAATGGGGGGGAGACCCCCAAAAACGGATCGCGGCTTCCCATCTCCGGCTGAAACCGGTGGCCCTCGGACCGATCTACCGATCTCCTGCAGAACCTCGATGCATCGATACATGCGGTCCGTTACCTGACGCACGGGCGGACATCTCCAAGGGGAAATCTCTGAAATGGGTCGCTTCCTCGTGGATTCACTTTTGCTTGCGACCCAAAGCACGCTGCTACTTGTCGCTGCTCTTGGTGGGCCAATAATCGGTAATAGAAAGGGGGTAATAAGCGGCCCACAGAGCTTTGGGTCCACCGTTGTCCGTTTGATGAATTTTGCCACAGGAAGGATCCCCCGCAGATGAACCGACTCGGACCGGGACCAGCAAGTCGAAGGAACCAGCAAAAGCGGCCCCTTCGCATCTTCTTCCCTAAGTCCTGCATTCAGGCTGCCCTCCCAAACCAACCAACCAGCTTCCCACCGATTGGTGGTTTGGATTGGTATTTTCATGGTTAATGGCTAGTTTCCCACATACCGCTACAAAAACCAGGGGTTCAAATCCCCAAACCACCAATCCAACCATCATCTGGGGGTTACTTGAACCAACCAACGAACCACCAACCAACCAACCAACCATCAACCAGCCAACCAACCAACCAACCCACCAACCAACCAACCAACCAACCACCCACCAACCACCCACCAACCAACCAACCAACCACCCACCAGCCAACCACCCACCCACCCACCCACCCACCCACCAACCAACCAACAAAACATGCAACATCCATTCCCCTGACAGCCCCCAGCCTCGGGAGTCATCTCATACTCCGCAAGCCTGGCTCGCACCTCCTGCTCGATCCAGGAGTTCGGAGGCTGCCTGACCCATTCACTCGCTGGCTGCGTGGGCGCGAGTCGCGAGCACGCTCTGGGCTTTGGATCGGAACCAAAATGGCGGTTGAAGGGTGGGGTGGGGTGGGTGTGGGGCTCCCATTTTTCGATCCCAAGACTTCAAGCGATCTGTTGATTTCCGCAAGGATCGGAACCAATCAGACTTCGAAAGAACCTGGGTCAGGGATTCGAACTAATTCCCTTCAAGCCAAGCTGTGGGAAGGACATCGAACAAACAAAAGGGGAACCAACTCTTGGGTTTGTACAAGTGTTTTTTTTCAACAATCAAGCAAATGCAAGCAACATATAGGCTTGAGTCTTGGGAGGGCATGGAGGACCAATACACCTGCTTTCGGACCTGCTTTCCCAGGCTTTCTTTGGGAAAACGGCGGACATCGCGCAAAACCTCTTCAAAAAGCTTTTTGGAACCGCATGGCCCAGCAAGTCACCCGACTTGTGCAATCGACCTCGTCTTCCAGATGCGCCCAGCGTGGATTCCTCTCCCCGCCTTGCTTGGCGGCCTGCCAGGTGCGGCGCGCCAGCCTGATCCGCAAGGCGGGGGCTCCCCCGCTGCTGGTGAACCAGCGGCCCTTTGGCCCGGGGAAAGTTGCGCTTCTTGATGCCCGGGTGATTTGTTTTTTTTTTTTTTTTTTTTAATGTAGCACTGCTCGTGTTTTTGTTGATGGCTTTTCTTCCTTTCTTTCCTTCATTTTTTTTTTTCGGGGGGGGGGGGGTCGCTGGAGAAAGTGCGGATTTTGTGTTGCTTGACTTGGTTTGCCCAGACCCCCACCCCTTTGTGAACCCTCAGCCACATGCAACGAGTGACCCGAACAGTAGAAAAAGGAACCATTTTTGAAGGAGCCCTTTACCAAGGACCCCGTAAAATGCAAACGGGAGAAGGGTGCCCCTGAACAACTGAGCTCAAGATGTGTGCTTGTGTATGTGCTTAGTTGTTGAGTGTTCTTCTGAGGATTTTTACATGTCGGTCTTCCAAGTTTTGGGGGTCAATCAATTTGGATTTATCCGAAAGGACCTCCCCAAAAAGACTTGGGGTGTTTCGGCCGCCATCATTCGACTCAAGTTCACGTACTCAAGTTCACGTAAGCGGAAACGAAACAGATTTCAACCAAGCCGTCCGGCCGTGAACCAAGGGCTGCTGCTCCCAATAAGAGCCCCGGTGGGACCAAAAGGAAAGCGGAACGCAATGAGCAGGGCCTTTTCTTTAGCCCAGTGAGGGAAATATGCCTCTATCCAAAGCCAAGCAGAAATCCAAATGACAAATATCTTAGTGGCAGTGCCTGTGTCTCACACACGCACACACACAAACAAAAACACACACACACACACCTAGAACCATTTAGCCACGGCTCGCAATGTTTGGGACACGCTCCAAAAGGTGCTGATGGTTGTACAAATGCTAAAACAGGACCAAAGCTCTGTTGATGTGGCCATGGGTCAAAATCCAAAGCCCGTACCCCCAGAAAGAACATCCGATTCAATCCAACCACTAGAATAGGTCCTAAAATGGGTGGTGAATTCACCTACCAACCAAAATGGTACCATTGGGTTTCCCCCATGTGACCAAAATGGTACCAAAATGGGTGGTGAATCCCCCACGTGGTTTGCCAAAGCTCCTTTGATCGCTTCCAGCCAGCTAACCGGCCCCCCGCCTTCAGAGAACGCTGGGCGCGGTTGAAACTCTCCCTCCTTCCTTCCTGCGGAGCGGAAGGAGCGCTGTGACCATTTTTTTTCGAACTGCCGAGCCTCGGTTGCGAAATCTGCTGCCCTGCTAAAAGTGACTAACTTTTAGTGGTTTAGCGGAAACCCCATTCGTTGGCAAACAGTTACAAGTCCTAACATCCGAGCAAAATGCACCAAAGGAAGCATGAAAGTGAGGAACCGCTCAAGCATGTGCACTTCGATACTTGTCAAAGAGAAAACCACCGATACAAGTTTGTAAGGCAGAACACTTGATTCAAATACCATGAGCTGGATTCCGCAAAATGTGATTCCTCGAGATTGCCGGGATGTGCTATCTGTCCTTTCTGGTTTTCACTGCACGCCAACCAAAATCGCACTAGGGGAAGCGAACTGGATTTTGGAGGGTGCCCTGTTCAGGTGGGTTCAAGGGGGGTTCCCATATTTTGACCCTTTTAGCCATTTCTGGGGATCCCAACCAGGACAAAAATGGGAGAGACCTGAAGGCAACCTGGAAGGAATCCTGAAGAAAACCTGAAGGACACCTGAAGGACACCTGAAGGAAACCTGAAACCGGCTGTTTGCAGCGGAGCGGCGACTGTTTAGGAAACACCTTCGCAAAGCGGGTGAGTCTGCGCCGGGGAAGGCGCTGCATTATCTTATCCACTCTTCAAAGGGATGGCATGTACCCCTGGTGTAGCCCCGGCCCCAAAATGTATGCCTAGGTTTTTGTCTTTACAGCCCTTGGTATGGGAGCACAAAAACACGCTTCTTGCAGCGCCCTACTAAAAGTGAACAGAACCCAAAAACCCCCCAAAAAAAAAAAACCAAACACTTGCCAGCAGCGGTGAAGCCATAAAACCAAAATGGGGGGGTGGGGGCGGGTATCGGGGGCGCCCCAAGCCCCAGGAGCCCTCCGAAAGGCTGACTGCGGTTTCGGGTAGGCCAGGGGTCAAAATCCAAACCCGTTTCGCAAGCGCAGGGTTAGCAAGCTCCAAACACGACGTCTCAACCAGTCGCTCTCTGTCTCGGGCCCTGGCGACTGCCTCAGCCCACAAAAACACACGCCCCCGGACAAGCCGCCTGCATCCTTACAAGATAAAGCTCCCAAAAGCAGGTTGTCTAGGTCCTCCAGTAGAGAGGTTGGAATAAGGGTACAGGGCACTACTGGTTCCTCGTCTAAGCCACACAAAGGCTGCGAGCTGGCAAGTGAAATCGCTGTTGGCCCCCTGGACAACGCTCGTATATCTGGCATGCCTCCCCCCAGAACCACGCAGGCAGTGAATCTTGATTGCTCAGACCCTTTTTGTGGACATCATAAAACCGCGAGTGAATGTATGCAACCAACAACCATTTCTGCGGGTGGTTCCATCAATCAATGAAAACTCACAGCCATCTGACCTTTGCCCATGTTGATCTTGCCTAAACCTGATAAATGAGGTCCCCCGTGTTGGAACACACCCCAAAGCTACACGCCAAACCGCGTGCAACGCCTTCGACCTCGTCCAGGCCGAGGTGCAGCCATCACTGGGGCACTGTGCCACTGGCAAGCTTGCGCCGTGCCGATATGTACACCTGAGCCACGAATCCAACGGCGACGTCGCGGCCCTGTACCCCGAGAACATTGGAGCGGCCTTTGGATTCTCTGAAAAGCACACCCAAAATGGGCGCCGTCCCCCTCGTTCCCTGAAAAAACTCAGGAAAGAGCAAGGCCGCCGAACAACGAAGAGAAGAAGGGCGTCCTGCAAGAGTAGAGGAGCCCGTTTCTCTGGACACCACAAGCCATGAAAAACGGGGTCTCAGGGTCCTCCTTGCTCAGACACATGAGCGGAGTTGATTGCAGAAGGACAGAGTGGGCAAGCGCCCCGTGCTTCTTCCAAATGGACTACTACCGTGTCCCCTTTCGTTGGTTGCAACCCTCCCACTCAAGAGGTGCCTTGCCTATCGCACGAAAAGATGGATTGGCCTCTCTAGGTGGTTTGGTGTGTTTAGGTTTCCGTTTCAATTCATCGGGTTGTGCTTGGGACAGACCCCGTCATCGGTCCGGGGTTCAGGACCACCACAGCATCCCCAGCCGCCCCAGCCCGAAAAACCCGCCCGACTCAGGCGCGCACCAATTCCAGCTACGAAAGTAGCAAGAACCAATTGGCTGACAGGAACAGAACTGGAAATGTGTGTAATAGCTGAGATCGCTATGGATGCATGATACCAACACGATACGAACTGAGCCAATTGATGTCCTGTGCATATAGCGAGAAGATGCGATCCACAAGCTTTTTACCGTGGGCATGTGCAAGCGGACGCATGTGTGGTGCCCGGGTGAATCCAAGCGAATGCCGCTGGTGCATGAGCATGATGCGACATGTGCGAGTGTTGCATAGAGGAGCGACATCGGTGTCGACTCCGTCCATGGCGGGGGCCTGGGTCGGTCGAGTTCGAGTCAATCCGTGAATGCACAAACAGAAATACACAAACGAACGAACGAACGAACGAACCAACGAACGAACGAACGAACGAACGAGCCAACCAACAAACAGATAGACAAACACACAATTTTAAGCAAACAAAGCAACACAGCAACAAAATAAGGAAGTAGCAGAAAAGAACGAAACCGGCAAGCAAAGCAAAGAGCAAAGCGAGGCAACAAAGCAGAGCAGAGCAGAGCAGAGCAAGGAAAAGCAAAGCAAACAAGTAAGGCCACCAACCAACCACCTACCAACCCACCAACCCACTCACCCAGCCACCCAGCCACCCAGCCACTCAGCCACCCAACCCACCCACCCACCCAGCCACCCAGCCACCCAGCCACCCAGCCACCCACCAACCAACCAACCCACCAACCCACCAACCTACCAACCTACCCACCCACCCACGCACCCAGCCACCAACCAACCAACCAAGCCACTGATTCACAAACTCGCAAACCTACAAACTAACAACACAAAGAAGCCCGGCACAAAGCGGCATCTGCTGTCCCAACCCTTTCCCGCGAATCAATCAGCTGAGCTCGGGGCAACTAGCGCTTTTTCACAGCCCCGAGAAGCCCTTGCAACTGGAGGCGAAGGGCGCGGCGAAAGGCGCGGCCGGCGCGGGCGCGGGCGGGCGTTGGATGCAGTCGCCAAGGGCTCAGAATGGGACGTCCAAAAGGCTAGAGGACCCTATCCCCGGCAGAAATGGGTGGATATCCCGTCCCTTAGACCATCTGTGATTCTTGGGGATAGCCCAAGTGCAACCGCGAACAGAGTAAGCGCAACCCAAGTGCAACCCAGCGAAAAGCTCCTTTCCTCGGCCCACATCCCATCTCGCGGATCTCGCGAATTTTCGCGGAGCTTTTGGGAACCCGGGCTTCGAGCCGCAGCCAGCGCAATATGGCCGCCCAACACGCACGCCACGCCGGAAAACGCGCTTTGTGGGGAGTGCTTGTCTTTGGAACCCCAAGGGGCCCACAACAAAAGCGGCCCCAAGGGTTCTTCCGTTCTTCCCCTGGCCACGGCTCTCCATAATGCTTCCGAATTGGTGCCGCGAGGAGCGGCTTGGGACGGGCCAACTTCCCCAAAGCAACGCCGCCTTCCCTCACCCCGTGCCCAGGTTCCAGCGGTTGCTTCTCGAGGGCACCCATCTGTTTCGCCTCTTTCTTTTTTGAGGACCATCCCCGCCATGGGGATGAAAAAACAAGTCCACTGGGGACAGCCCCAAGCATCACCAAACCGCCCAACCTCGCCGGCCGTGCAGTTTCAAGCTCTGCCTTCGGCCAGGCTTGAGCCAAAGACCCCGCGAGTTCAAAGCGCGGAGCTCTCTCCGCGCCGATGGATGTCTCAGACCTTGGCCAGCGGCCGGTGAGGCCCAGTGACGTGGCCGTGGTGGTGATGGAAGGGAAACCGCAAGGAAGCCACCCTTTTTGGAAAACCCGTCGAGCAGGTCCAAGCAAGACTTCATGTGCAACTGATCAAATGGGTATGAGTGTGACGGCTCAGGACTGGTCACGGCCTGATGGGTGTTTTTTCGGCGGGGGGGACCACCAACCATTTCTTGAGTCTATTCCAAGCTGTGAAGCACAAACGTCCCACGGAGGCAGTCGCAGCGAGCAACCGTCCCAGGAAATAAAAGAAAGAAAAAAAGAAAAAACTCGCATACCGCTGCTTGGCCAGCAGTGGACCCCCCCAATGTGTGCACGTTTTCGTTGTTTCCTTTTCGACCAGCCATACGCAAAACTGCTAGGACCTCCAATGGGTTTGTAGCGACCGAAAGCAGGCGATTGGCCCGGTGACCAGCTTTGCAGAAGGCAGTGTTTCAGATGGGCCTGATGTGTGCCTTCCGAGCAAATCGTATTTTTTGGTTTTTAAACTCCACCCCATACGCCAAAAGACACGCCCAATTTGCTTCGGAAAACCTGGTTTCAAGTTAGAAAGAATCCAAACAAAAGTAGACAACGAAAGGTTGAATGACCAACCCAATAACCACAAGTCGACAACAAGGTTTCCCCAAAGCGAGCATGGACAACGAGAAGGCACTCAGCAAGTCGTCTTTATTTAAAGAACCACAAGTCACCCAAGAAAACTGATTGCGCTCTCTGGCTGGTAGCTTGACGTTTTAAAGCGCAAACCTATCCACCCAGGAAGTCCCTGAATAACCAGGGAATGGTGCGGCTTTGGCCTTTTTTCGGTAACCAAGAAAGCCAAGGGCGAACCGCCTCCAAGCAACCCACCGCATGCCTTGGTCATTTTCAGAGCTGCTCCCCTTTACTTCACCGGCCGCAAAAGAGACCGAGGCGCCACCAGCTCAAAAACTTCCTGGTGGTTGCAGAATCCACGCGGCAGCACCTGCGCGCGCTGCCCGGGGACACTTAGAGGCTGTGTTGCAGCACCAAGTGAGATGTAATCAAAGCCCGGGATGAACATGGTCGGGCCCAAGAACCATGCTTCAAGAAGTAAAAAGGCGGAGAAGCACCCGTTTATGGTTGAAGCCGTCCTTACTAACCTTCACTTACCCGGGTTTTGGTTCTGGCTCAAATGAAGGTGGTTGCAAAATGGACTCCACGTGCCAACCAATGGCCGCCCTCTGGGATACATGCATCGATCTGTTGAGGCGGAGCCTTCGTTTGGGGTCAGGGCCAAAAACAGAGAGGAAACAGAGGACTCGCCAAGGCTTTGTCCTGTGCTAGGATCAAAGGGTGACAAAAAGCAAAATGTGGATTGGAGACATCATTCCCCTTCTGCTTGGCTCGGTGCGAACCCTCCACCCTCATAGGAACTTGTGAAACATCCCTAGGTCCGAAGCGGAGCTGACCTCCCACCTGCCGAAGCCGGCGTTTTGCAATCTGGGAGGTCATCTTTGGTTGAACAGGGATCCTTACATTATACACCTGAACATTGCAACTTGTAAATGGTGGTTTCCAACTTTATTCTGGCGTTGAAAAAGCAACATGTTTCAAATGGTTGCAGAATGTATATATCTTTTAAGGAGCCCTCTTGAGGGCTGGGCGCTGGAACTCTCATTTCCAGGGCCGGTTTCCAAACCGGGCCCCCCGGTGGGATGAAAATCCGTTTGCGGAGGATTTTCCTCCCCCCCCAAAAAAAAACGGCGCCGCAACCTTGGGAAGGGACATCACCCGGGTCGCTCAGGTTCCGGCGTCCCAGTAACGGTGGTGGTCCATGACCTGCCAGCTTAGGACCAAACGCTTGCCCTTCAAAGAGGTCCAAAGCGCGGTGGTGTTCTTCCCAAGGTTCGAAGAGTGGTTCAAAGAGTGGTGCAAAGAGTGGTTCAATTAGTGGTTGAAAGGTGGTGACAAGGTGGTTCAATGGTTCAAAGAGTGGTGCAAAGAGTGGTTCAATTAGTGGTTGAAAGGTGGTGACAAGGTGGTTCAATGGTTCAAAGAGTGGTGCAAAGAGTGGTTCAATCAGTGGTTGAAAGGTGGTGACAAGGTGGTTCAATGGTTCAAAGAGTGGTGCAAAGAGTGGTTCAATCAGTGGTTGAAAGGTGGTGACAAGGTGGTTCAATGGTTCAAGAAGTGGTGCAAAGAGTGGTTCAATCAGTGGTTGAAAGGTGGTGACAAGGTGGTTCAATGGTTCAAAGAGTGGTGCAAAGAGTGGTTCAATCAGTGGTTGAAAGGTGGTGACAAGGTGGTGAAAGGTCCCAAGGTGGTTCAATGGTTCAAAGAGTGGTGCAAAGAGTGGTCCAATTAGTGGTTGAAAGGTGGTGACAAAGAGTGGTGCAAAGAGTGGTTCAATTAGCGGTTGAAAGGTGGTGACAAGGTGGTTCAATGGTTCAAAGAGTGGTGCAAAGAGTGGTTCAATCAGTGGTTGAAAGGTGGTGACAAGGTGGTTCAATGGTTCAAAGAGTGGTGCAAAGAGTGGTTCAATCAGTGGTTGAAAGGTGGTGACAAGGTGGTTCAATGGTTCAAAGAGTGGTGCAAAGAGTGGTTCAATCAGTGGTTGAAAGGTGGTGACAAGGTGGTTCAATGATTCAAGGAGTGGTGCAAAGAGTGGTTCAATTAGTGGCTGAGAGGTGGTGACAAGGTGGTTCAATGGTTCAAAGAGTGGTGCAAAGAGTGGTGCAAAGAGTGGTTCAATCAGTGGTTGAAAGGTGGTGACAAGGTGGTTCAATGGTTCAAAGAGTGGTGCAAAGAGTGGTTCAATCAGTGGTTGAAACGTGGTGACAAGGTGGTTCAATGGTTCAAAGAGTGGTGCAAAGAGTGGTTCAATTAGTGGCTGAAAGGTGGTGACAAGGTGGTTCAATGGTTCAAAGAGTGGTGCAAAGAGTGGTTCAATCAGTGGTTGAAAGGTGGTGACAAGGTGGTTCAATGATTCAAAGAGTGGTGCAAAGAGTGGTTCAATCAGTGGTTGAAAGGTGGTGACAAGGTGGTTCAATGGTTCAAAGAGTGGTGCAAAGAGTGGTGCAAAGAGTGGTTCAATTAGCGGTTGAAAGGTGGTGACAAGGTGGTTCAATGGTTCAAAGAGTGGTGCAAAGAGTGGTTCAATCAGTGGTTGAAAGGTGGTGACAAGGTGGTTCAATGGTTCAAAGAGTGGTGCAAAGAGTGGTTCAATTAGTGGCTGAAAGGTGGTGACAAGGTGGTTCAATGGTTCAAGGAGTGGTGCAAAGAGTGGTTCAATCAGTGGTTGAAAGGTGGTGACAAGGTGGTTCAATGGTTCAAAGAGTGGTGCAAAGAGTGGTTCAATTAGTGGTTGAAAGGTGGTGACAAGGTGGTTCAATGGTTCAAAGAGTGGTGCAAAGAGTGGTTCAATTAGCGGTTGAAAGGTGGTGACAAGGTGGTTCAATGGTTCAAAGAGTGGTGCAAAGAGTGGTTCAATTAGTGGTTGAAAGGTGGTGACAAGGTGGTTCAATGGTTCAAAGAGTGGTGCAAAGAGTGGTTCAATCAGTGGTGACAAGGTGGTGAAAGGTCCCAAGGTGGTTCAGTGGTTCAAAGAGTGGTGCAAAGAGTGGTCCAATTAGTGGTTTCCAGGTGGTGACAAAGAGTGGTGCAAAGAGTGGTTCAATTAGCGGTTGAAAGGTGGTGACAAGGTGGTTCAATGGTTCAAAGAGTGGTGCAAAGAGTGGTTCAATCAGTGGTTGAAAGGTGGTGACAAGGTGGTGAGAGGTGGTGAAAAGGTGGTTAAATGGTTCCAAGGTGGTGCAAAGGTCGCGCAAAGGTGGCTAAGAGGTGGTCAAAAAGGTGGTTCACCAGGTAAGCCCAGAGCTCTCCCAACCCTCCCCTTTTCCCCAAGCCGCGCTGAGTCTCTGGCCACCGCCGACCGCCTGAGCCAGTCGGGCACCCAGGAGTCATCCCGCCGCCGACCAGGAAAAACCGCCCGTCTCCATTGGGCTCGGGTGAACAAGGCAAATCCCAGGTTTGCCACATGACAATTTCCCATCATTTTGGGCAAATTGACCTTTGAACCTAACAAAACATGTGGGTTGTACCATCATTTCGGGCAAATTGAAAATTGACATACCCTTCACATTTTGGCACACTGCCTGCCTCCGCTCCCCTTAAAAATCGCGGTTCCAAACAAAAACGCTCCAAGAGCCATCTTCTATTTCCGCCACCAAGACCCACTCGCGCCGTCAACCGAACATGTCGGGGCTCCAAGATCTGGGCCCCGGGCGGCCAGGTCAACCCGTCAGAGCAGGACATATCCTCGGAGCGGGGTGGCCGCACCTCGGGCCGAGGCACGGGGCGGAGGGCGCAGGACCCAACCGGTCAGCGCCCACCACCTGGTTGCTGTGCCCCCCCCCCCGGCAATAAGCTCAGGTGACATCCCGACATCCCCCGCTGCAACAGCCTGCGGGGCTCGTTTTAGTGCTCGCACCACCCCGCAGCCCTCGCAGAATGGTGGAACCCTGGTGGAACCCTGGTGGAACCCTCGTGGAACCTTACCTCAGGGCTGCCCCGGAACTAGCTGGGCTGAGACCCCAAAGCTTCCAGCTGTTGGGGAAAAGGTTTAACTTTTTGGGGGGTTTAGTGGAAAACCCCTTGATTTCCCAAAAGTTAAAGTCTAAAGATCCAACCCAATAGCAGTCAAGACCAGATCTTCCCGCCTGAAACAAACATGCCACGGTGACGCTCGCTGTCCACCATACGCCCCAACCCACACACAAAACACAGGGGGCCTTCGCAGACACCCAACAACAAAACAAGGGAACCACCTTTCTGCCGTTGTCTAATTTTTGGAAGTGCATCCAAATTGCAGCCGCCAGAGCTGCCGAAATCGCCCAAAAAGCCGGGCGCCGCGCACACTCCCGGTAGTGGCACATCACGTTGCCCTCGTAATCGCCTGACCTCGCCCGCTCAAAATGGCACCCTCAGCATAGTCGGAAGGAATCTTCCTAATGCCTTTGCGAAGAGAAATTGTTAAAAATGGGCAACCGGCAAACCACTGATGGCTTGGATTTGTTTTTGGGATTGAACCGCACTGCCACTCCAACATGTCCCAACTTGGATCAGCCACCTTCGGCCCTTCGGCACGCCGAAAAAGCCTTTCCAAGCTCCCCACTTTGAAATCCAGAAACCTTCGGCCCCCCATTCTCCACCAGGCGGTGGCTCAAAAAAAAACGGAATTGCAACATGGGCTGCCCGATCGGCAAGTGGACACCTGGCCCAAGACCTGCGTAACTTTTGCCCCTCCGATCGGGTAACATTTTGCGAGCCACGCCGTGGACCACGGCGTTCCCCTTCTTTCCCGAGGCTCTGGGCGGGAACCAGATCTCCGTGCCGGCGTGGTAGTAGCCGTTGGTCCTTGCGGAGCGGGGCGTTTGTCGGCGCCCAGGGGGGATCTTTTTGTTGGGGCTCCGAAAGGCGGCAGAGGCAGCAAGCCCAGCAGCTCAGCTGGAAAACGGATGAAGCCCTTGTCTCGGGCTGGGAGTATTCGTTACCTTTCTCTTTATTTGGCCCCCAAACTCCCTAAAGGCCGCGCACTCAGTTGCGAGACCCGGAGTCGTTCGCTCGTTCGCTGGGAGGGGCGTGTCCGGAAGACCGGGCACTTGGCAAATCTTGTCCGGAACTTGGCTTCACCAATGAAGCTCGCAGACCGAAACCCCAAACCCCAAACCCCAAGACATGGAACCTGGAAGCTTGGAAGACCTGAAGTTCCATGGGCTCTGGCCTCCATTCACCTGGCTTGGCAAAGAGGCCCCCTCAAAGCACATCCCCTGAAGACATCCCTGAATAGGCATTTGTTGGGGTTGTACATATGTTGCAGCCAATCATACTGTGGATGGACGAAATCCTGCACCACCCAAGAAACCCTAGAATGATGATTCCCCTGCAAATGCCAACAAGCAATGGTTTCCCATGTCTCAAAGTGGTGCGAAATGGATTTCGTCCATCCACAGTAGGACTGTCCAGGCCGAAAGGGCCCTCCTGTTCAAATCTCAGTGCAAGACTCCGCGCATTCTCCTTGCGGTCGAAACGGGGGGGGGGTTCCCCCGGCGAGCCGGGGTTTTGGGTTTTTCTCGGGCGCGGGCACGTTCTTGCAGGGCGAGCTTGTTGACAGCCAGCTCTGCCTGCCGTGGGCAGAGCTAACACCATATTAGAATGCAATCGAATATGATGTTGTATAATAAACTAGTATATAACTACAACGTTATTACAAAATAATATAGTATGATATTATATATGATATGGTATATGATATACAGTATAATATACTATAACATAAGATGCTACGATATGATGTAATATTAAACTAGACTATATGATAAGATATAGAGTATAACTTGATATGATGTGATATCATATTATACTGTAGTGTACAATAAAATATAGTATTCTATAAGATATATATCATCTCATATAATATCATATCATATCATGTATCAAATATCAGATATTATATAGCACATGTCATATATCATATATCATATATCATATATTATATCATATCATATACATGCACAGCGAAATGCGTACTACTCCTTGACGGGGGCTGGAAACTTCATGCTCTTCTTCCCTATCGAACGCCACGATGCCAAAAGGGAGATGTCGTGAGCTCGTCATTTCAGGTGAAGATAGTGGTAAGCCAGTCAAAGTCATCACGGGAAAGTAGTGAGAGTAACTTGTTGGCCTATCTTCAACAAAAGCGGCGCCGTCTCACGAACGGCCAGAAGGAGGGGGTGCCTTTGGAGGCCAAGTGGCTGGAAGCGAGGCTTAAAAGGGAATGCGGCATTCCCATGGTACAGCACCATACAAATCCCCCAAAAAGACAGTACGGCCAAAAGGAGGAAATAAACGTCCCGTTGTTGTGAGTCATTGTGGGATTACTTTCCCACTGAGGGTGGGGCCAACAAAAGGTGATAGTGCGGCGCCAAGCAACTTTCGTCGACGTGTATGCTGAGGGCCATGCCCTTGACCTCCAAATGGTGCCTCTCAAAAAACAAAAAGAAACTGGTGGGGCCTTTTGGGACTGAGTTCTGAGCCAACAGGAAACCAGTTTTAGTTTTGCAGCTCCCCTGAGAAGCAACACATCCACAGCCCAAACCCCGTGGGCTCCCAGCCATCCGCGCCACCCGCCCTCGGCGCTGCTGCGAACTTTCGCCGCGAAGTTTCTCGTCGTCCGGCGAAGTTTCGGCCGGGCGCCAGGAGCCGTCTGGAGCCAGAACCGCCTCCTCACAGTCGGCCTGAGGCGAACGAAGCTCGCGAACGAGGGCCTGAGCAGGTTTGCAGTGCCGGGTGTTTTGATCATGGCTGGCATCGAAGGGGCCGCCCAAAACCAAAATGTGGAAGCCAAAGGATCGCAGTTGGCCCATGCGGGCAACTGAAGAGTACTGCGAAGGGGGGGAGATGCCTGGGCTGAGGATTGAAAGGTGCCGGCATGGCAAAAGACAAGACCTGGTCCCAAAAGGTCCCAAAAGGTCCCAAAACGACCCCCAAAGCTCCCAACAAAGATTTTACAAGGAACCTCAAAGATCCAAAAAAAAAAACAAGCTCCGAAAGTGGATTATGACGTGGGCCTCTGTTCATTCAAGTCATGATGACCCGAGTGTGGCAATCATAAGGTGAGCGGCTGTTTGTTGATTGGTTTCCTGTTGGCTTGTCTACCTCCCGATGTCAAAGGGTGAGCCCTGTCCCCAGAAAATTGGGAGCGTCCGAGGGGTTTTTGAGGTGTTCCAATGTCCGCCCCGAATCAACGCTGTGAGATCATGTCAAAGTCCCACAAAAGAGCCCAAACAAAAGAGTCCGACTAAAAGCAAGCCTGCTTATCAGGGACTGGATGCAAAAAAACCTTCAGGGTGGGAGGAATCCTATCCATCTCCCAAAGTCGAGAACCTGCCACATCTCCCATGCCCTTGAAACAAGTCTTGTGCCCGTTCTCTAACCTCGGGTGGCCGACTCCTGATCAGGCGGGCTTTCTCATCTGCAAAAACGTGCCGTTTCTTCGCCCGCCTCCGTCTCCAGCAAGATCTGCTCCACAAAGCCTCGGCCGGCGCCTCTCCAAGAGAGCACATGACGCCTGGTATCCTACCTCTTTCTTTTTTCAAGCATTCATCCAAAAACCATCAGAGAGAGAGAGAGAGGGAGAGAGAGAGAGAGTACAAAAACGAGAATATATCCTACTTATCCAAAGATATTGCCGTGGGGCCCCACATCCGAGCCTCATCGCCCTTCCGCCTGGGCCCCGCGCCGTCCACCAGCAGGTCCTCCGGGCCCACGCGGGACCCGCAGACCGGGCAGCTCCAGCCTCAGCCGCGCTCGCCCCTCACCAGTCTTCGCTAGTCTTTGCTTGCGGGAACCCCCCACCACCGCTGCCCCGGTAAAAACCGCGAAAACGCGGCAGCCTCAAAAAAAGGCAGACCCAAATATTGGTGATGCGGCGTGGGTTATTCGCCAAGCTTCACTCATCCCCTTTTCCGTTTGTCTTTTGGAAAGCCAAACAAACACGTGACACATGGGGGGCGAATACTCAACCCCCAGAAGCGGGTGGATGTTCATCGCACCGGACATCTCGGCCCCCGGCGGTTGTTGAAAGCCGCCTCGCGGGCTTGGAACGGAGCTATGTTCGACATCCAGGTGGTTTAAGCCATGCGACTGGACCAAGAGCTGGGTGTGGGTCAAAATTGAACCACCATGGGCCCACAGGTTTTCAGCCATTTTTCCATGTACCAGGGTTCCATTTTGGGTACATATTCTTGACCCACAGCCATCTACCAATGCCGTCCACTCATCAGGTGATTCGGATCCACTTTTTCAAACACCTGGGGGGTCCCTTTCTTTTCCCAAACGGGGTCTACTGAGGCCGGTGCCATGCCGTAGTTGCTCCTGCAGATAGAAACAAATCGGCACTTGCAGAAAGGTGAATCCGGCTTCTCGCAGGAAAATGGAGGAAATAGAGATGCTCCTGGTAAACGAATAGCTGACTGAAACCAGCGCCATCTATTTTCAACTAACTCACCAAAGGACACCTTGCAATGTGTCCAAGATTGGAGTTGGCACCAAAGGGGCGGCTCCTCTAAAAGACTGAACACCTTATCATGGGAACTAGGGGGCGCGGCCCAAAGCATGTCTTCACCTTGAACGCCAGTCTCTCGCGAGCCAGAGACCCCCAGCAAACAGTTCGACGCCCTAGTCCCAGGCACGTGATCCCTCAACGACATCTTCGCAGGTCCCGGCGATTCGCGTGTCTCAGCCGGATGGTGCAGTCCACTTGGCTGTGGGCACCCAACCCCAAGTTGGTAAAGGATAAAAATATGCGATCTCCCTGCATCTCCTTCATTTTAAGGTCCACACTCATTCTCCTCGTGAAGAGGGCGCAGTTCCCCCCATTCCCCCCTTCCAAAACATTACCCGCCCTCCAAATCCAACCCCAAAATCCCGCGCCCCCCCACGGCCCCCCCTCCACTACCCCCCCACCCCCCCAAAACCCCCCACTTTGAGCTCCTGCAGTAGGCCGCCACCCCGAAGCAGCGCAGGTGTCGGCACCTCCGGCCCCGCGCCGGCCGCTCCACCCGCTCCAGGGCCAGTGGGCACACCAGCGACAGCTGCCGCGAGGCCTAAGGACATGGGTGCGGCCGCACCCTTCTGGGGATGGCGCGCTTGATATGTTTGTTGTTTTTGTTTGGGGGGGGGGGGTTCTGTTCCATTGGTTCCGGCCCGATTAGCGCCGGATGTTCAAAACAAATGCGGAAGAATTCTTCAAATTTGCGCGGCGCCCTCAAAAGCAGCTCAAAAGCCACGCCTGGTCGACCCAGATGCTCCTGCCAAAAAGAAAAAAACTCGCGCCAACTCCCCCTTGGCACCCTGCCGTTGGTGAACTTTGGTGCCGAAACAGGGTCGCCCTGGCACTTTCCACCTCCTCACCCTGTGAAACGAGCCAAAGAAGCCCAGGTGGCATCAACAGCTAGCCAAGTTCCACAAGCTTTGCCTGAACCTCAGAATGCGGGTTTCTTGCTCACCCAAAGAGTGGGCCACTGGGAAAATGGAGCACCCCCAAAAGGAAGTCTGAATTCGGCTCTCCAAGTGCCCGGCCACGAACTCGATGCCATCCTTAAGAGCTGAAGCTGGCTGGTTGGTGACAAGCGGGCCAGGGAAACCACCCGAGAAAAAAAAAAAAAAACGGGAGGGAGGGGTGGGGTTTCACCACGCCACCTTAGATTTGAGATGTGTATCAGCTTCTTTCCGTTTGTTTTTGGGGGAGTGGGGGGACAGAAGTATGGAGTTTTGACCACAGGGACCAAAAGATCCCTAGATGTGATACGCACGTTTGAGTCCAAACGTCAAAATCAGACTCCGACAGTGGCATCGGTTTCTGATTCCCTTTCCACACCCATGCATGGGAGAAGGGCATCTGTGAATGGAATAAGTAGCCAAACGGAAACCCACCCCTTACCACCCCTGAGTTTTCTCGAGGTGAGTCTGTTCCGCCAAAAAAGAAAGGAAGAAACCTTCAAGATGTCGCCAACTCCTGTAGTCACAAGGCCCAGGTAGTCCAATCCCAGAAACCACAAAGGTCCGTGCAGTTGACAGCTATTCGGGAAAACCATCTTCCTACCTCAGCTCAAGAAGCTAATTATCATATTAAAATACGTTCTGCTGAGATCCAAAGGGGCTGGGCCCAAACCCGACGTTCGCCAAACCCAGCCTGCGCTTCATCGTGGAGCAGCGTGAGAAGGGCCGCCCGCGCCGCTAAGGGCTCTTGCCTGGAAGGAGCTGTGGGCTTCCTTGTGGGGTTGGAATGGCGGGGTTGAATTGCAGGTTGGAATGGTGCGGTTAGAGTTGGGAGGTGGAGTTTCGGGGATTCTGGCTGGGTGTTGTTGCAAGGGAACAGCCCGTCGCTTGCCGGTGGCTTCACTTGTTTCACTGGCCTTCTCCTTCTTGATGTCCGAAAAACGACCCAAAGTCCGAAAAGATGTTCTGCTCCCTTGGCAAGCCCAGGGCTCCACGATCATCTCCAAAGCAAGGTTGGTGTTCACCTGCCCTCCTCGAAATCCCGAGTCAAAACCAGACGTCTTTCTGGACTGAGCCCAGAACCGCTGAAAAACCAATCCCAATGCAGCGGTGTCCTTTGCGAACTGCGGCGGCCTAAACCCAGAAGAAGAACAAAACTAGCTCACGGGCATTATAGATTCCTGTATTCTCCGAAAAAAGCATCCGCCTTACATCCGCGGGAAAGAAAAACGAGCTCATGGGAATCGATTCCTGCATTCTCCGAGAAAAAAAGAACAGCCACCTGCCCTCCGCGGGAACCTCTCCCCGCTTGCACGGCCCACGCCCATAGGTGGCCTTTTGTAAATAGACGGATTTCCCTGGCAAATGGAAGAAACCCCACCTAAACCAGTGGAACCCATCTAGCTTCAACCAAACTCACCGAAACATTGGACACCTATATGCCCACCCCCCCACCCCCCCAACGGCCCGGCCTGGGCACCTCCTGCACCAGGCGCCTCACCCCCTTGCCGCGCGCCCGCACCAGGCCCAGCGCCAAGCCCCCGCCGTTCACGAAGCGCAGGCGCAGCGCCTTGGGAGCGGCTTGGAAGGAGGGAGGGGTGGGAGGGGTGGGAGGGGTGGGAGGGGTGGGAGGGGTGGGAGGGGTGGGAGGGGTGGGAGGGGTGGGAGGGGTGGGAGGGGTGGGAGGGGTGGGAGGGGTGGGAGGGGTGGGAGGGGTGGGAGGGGTGGGAGGGTGGGAGGGTGGGAGGGGTGGTGGGAGGGATGGGAGGGGTGCAAATGTTGAAATGTAACAATGCAAAAATGCTTTTAACAAGATCTTGGCTTAACCCTGGTGGAAATGGGGCGTCCCACCTGCCCAACAACCGAGGAAAAACATATGCAGGAGACGGCTTTGACGGGCTCAAACCTCGAGTTGACTGTGACACAAGGAACCTGAAGGGGGCCTGGCTCTGGGATTCGAAAGCTGAAGCGCTTCCAGCTACCGACTCTGCCCAACTTGCCGCAGACTTGCCAAGGACTGCTGGGAATTACTGAACAAATGCCTGCCTGCCTGATGGCTAGAAATGGTTCAAACACTGGACACAGGCACGCTTTCCTGGCGGAGATTGCTGTGATGAAGAAGGATGTTTGTGCACTCTCCAATATGTCCCAGTCGCGTGACCAAGAGAAAAAAAAAAAAAGTACATGTCTGAAGGCCCAGAATGCATGGTGCCTTCGTGTCCAGAATGCTCAAGTACATGCTCAAGTGCTGAATGCGCGTCACAACCTTGGGCCTAGAATGCTGAGATCGTTGGGTGTCCTTCTCGGGGTCAAAAAGACCCCATCTCGAAAGCACCTGTTCACGCCCTGCCCCACAGTTACGCTTAGGCTTACAGACTCAGAGTTTCTTGTGAACCCAAACGACTTGCCTTCCGGACTTGAGCTCGTTTTCAACAGGGATCCGGATGCATTATACACCTGAGCATTGCCCCGTAAATGGCGGTTTCCCTTTACTTTGGTGGAGAAAGCCATGTTTCAAATGGGCAACATGTCTTTTCAGGAGCCCTGTTCAAGGTGTGTCCAACCCCCACTTGGGCAACCAACGGGCTCCTACCATTGAACTCCTCTCCCTCGGCCCGCGGACACGGCCTCTCACCCAAGGGGCATTCGGCCCTGCTTGAAGCCAGGCGGTGATGTCTTGCGGCACGTCCCGACGCCGGTGCCCCTGCGGAAGCCCCTTGGAAGCCCTAACAAACCGAACTCGTGCACGGCCCTGCGTCCAGGGGTCCCAACAACCGAGGCTTGGAAAAAACATGTAACACGTCGAAAGAAAATGAGGGAAGGGCTATACACCGACTAAGCTCATTTGTGTTCATAAGTCATTCACAAAGATTTTCACGCGCCTGGCAAGGGTTGAGAGGACTTCCTTTGAACGCTACCGAGCTCGCGATTGCATCTGTCCAGAATCAGCCCACAGTCAACGTGCTCTGCTCCTTCCGATAGATGTCTTCAAAGGCTGAGTATGGACCCAGCCAGTGGGAAGGGCGAAAAACATGTCACAGCTGGAACAGCAAAGGCGAAGCGGCGAACCGGGACCTTTTCCAGGCGCCTGGCCAAACTGCTCCGCCAACTGCCAAAAGTAGCAAGTCTTTTTACCTCCAGTGGGTGCAGTGCTCGCGCTATGGCGCAAAAATCTTGGCTCGTGCCGCCATACCTCGCTTTTGCAGGACTTGGCTGAGCCGAACGAAGCTCTCGGAGCCTCGCCATCACTTCTGGATCATGACACCATCCTGGCCTCGCTTCATTGCCTCACAAGCGGCCCAACTCGCGAATTCCACCAGGCTCAGTGTCTTGAAGCTCTGGCCCAACTCTTTCTCCAAAAAACGGACCTCGCCCTTTTGCGAGTTCCCGAGGCCGCCGTCTCCTTTGGTCACCACACAAAGCTCGCAGCCTTTCTCCGACGCCGTGCGGGTCTTGCGCATCCACATGTCGTACCATTTGCATCCCCACTCCGCCGGCCAGTGCTCTTTGCCATAGAGATGGTAGCAGTGACAGGCATCCTTCGGCACGCCCTTCTCATGCCCGCGAGCATCTCTTTGAGGATCCGGCACATGAACACCAAAGCCAGGAGCATCTTTGTCGGGCAAGAAGACGCACGTCGTGGCCAGGCTGTTCTTCAACTTCGCACGCTGCATCAGCACGTTCCACGCGGTGCCATGGGCGCCGGGGAAGCTGACGATCACCCTGGCACCTTTGACGAAAGCCTCCTCTGGAGAGCCTTCAAAGATGATTCTGAAAGACGGGTCAAGCTTTAGAAATTGCTCCCTGTGTTCTTTCTCCATCCATTCCAACTGACGAAAGAATTCTGCCTCGGGATCTTGTTAGATCCCATGGGAAGTGGCGCAACGAAAGGCGGGCAGGACAAGGACCTTACCTTTGAAGAAGAGTTGGCTGCTATGGGTGTGCGTCGACTTAAGAAGGAAGAGATAGAGCTTTGGAGAGTAGGCACGCGACGAGATGCGGACAGTAGAGTAGAAAGCCTTTCAGAGCCAGAAAGAACGGTGAGATGCTGTTGCGCCCGTTGCGCATGGGCCCAGCCTGCTTGGAATGGTTCATAGTCCACCCCAGACCTCTTGGAACGGGCAGTATGCATCCTCGACGAATACTGAGTTCCTGAATAAGTTGCTCAGACCTTTTCCTGATGTTGGGTTGAAAACCAGCTCAACTTCAAGCACCACAAAGGGCCCCGGGAAAGCAAATGGATACTTAGCCACCTCCAGAGGGTGTTGACTTCGTCTCCTTATGAAGGTCATATGGTTGTCTTGCTTCCCTTCTTGGGGTGTCCGTGGCCACCAAGCAATGCCAAACAACTAGGTCTTTTGTCTCAACCTTGTGTCAGGCTCCTGTCAATGGGGTTCTATCAAGGGAAACTCGCCTCAATGGCCAGAAAGCGGATGTTTCACCAAACCGGGGACACATGGCTGTGGGTCAAAACCCTGTACCCGTGGTGAACATCAAACTAGGTTCGCAAATGGATGTTCATCCACCCCAAAATGGAGCCATAGATTATGCCCCATGGCCATATAGGGAACGGGGGGATGCTTCTTGGAACGGCGCCTTCTCCGGCGGAGCGATGCGGAAGAGCTGGCTGCCCTCTGCCTGCCATCATCGATGGCACCACCATAAGCAGGAGCGAAAGATTTTGCACAGCGCCAGGCCGAGCCAAACTCGCAAAGCACCACCAAACGACGGAACAACAACAAACACCAAAAAAAACATGGAGAACTTTGCACACCAAACGAGCAGAACAAAACAAAAAACAACCTAGAAGAAGAAACCAAGAAGAAAACACCTCGCAAACCAAGAATAAATTCACAGACCTTCCCTTTTCGAACATGGATACAGCCTCCATCGCCAGCTCCTCGGGCCAGACCTGCGCCAGCTCCTCGCTGTCCAGCCGCAGCATGCGCACCCAGATGGCCTGGCCGCCGAATCGAGCACATCGAGCGAATCGAATGCATCCAGTGAGTAGTCTACCTCCCCGCACCCAAAAAAAAACAACGTTGTTTTTGATCTTACCCCCCCCCCCCCCCCCAAAAAAAAAAAAGACATGTTTTTTGTGTGTTTTCTAACCCTCCCCCCCAAAAAAAAAAAAAAACACATCTAAGCCCCCCCCCCCCCGCCCCACCCCCCCACCCCCAAATAAAACAACATTTTTTCCTATCTACCTCCCCCCCAATATATATATATACATATATATATATACCGAGATATGGCTGTCCCCTTTTGGCGGTCGGAAATCAAAATGAGAACCGGTGCACCAATTTGGAAAGTCCAACTTTGAAACAGACACACCCACATGTGCCGGCCGTCGATTGGAGTCTGTCCCGCGGCAGAGCCCTACATGGCTAAAACAAAAGGGCAACAAGCGTCCCTAGTTTGGGCTGCCAGATGGCAGTGGATGGAAGTAAAAAGCGGGCCTTCAGGAACCACAAAGGACACCCCGGGGGTTTTTTGGGGGCCAAACTCTGCATTTCCGGTCGGCGTGGGAGCAAAAATCTAAAAAAGCTTCTGGACCGGAAAGGAAGGCGTGCGGACCGAAAGGCTGTCTTGGTCCCGAACCTTTCTGGGAGTTGGGTCTCAATCTCTCTCCTGAGCCTGGGGCACCTCTGTACAGCTCAGACAACTAATCGGGATCTGCCAAGGCAAGAGGATGCTTCTTGGGAGTTGTCCAAGCGAGGAAATGTTTGGACACATACTTGTGTATATATATATATATACATATTTGTACATATACCTGCATACCAAGCAGAGCTTGCCTGGCTTGAAACCAAAAGGAACACCCCGGATTGAAACAGCACACCAGAAACCCAAAGAGTTCCACCTCCTCCTTGGGAAGGTCGACCTTTCTGGGCCCGAAAAACCCAAAAACCAGCCACGGACTCGGACCAGACTCTCCGCGCCTCGCCCGCCTCCCGCCACTCCTGGAGCTTCGGGAGGTGCCTCACCGCCGCGGGGGAAGCGCTTCCGTTGGCTTTTTCGCCTGGAAGAAATGAGGACATGTTATGTTCGGTGATTCATGGGGGCTGGGGGGGAGGGAGGAGGGGGGGGGCAATTGCCCACATGGTGCGCAGAACAGGGGCCAAAATTGAATGTCACAGCACCGCCGTCTTTCCAAACTCTGTCACCCATTCAGATGCCTCCCTTTGTGCCAAAAAAGAAACCGGCCCAACAAGGCAAGCTCCCGCACCGAGCTTGACATTGGTCGCAGAGACTGGGCTGCCAGGCGGTAGACCCGGCAAAAGCAGGTCGGGGCGCTGGGGCCCCGGCAGCACCAGCTCGCAGATCTCACCCTCCAGCAGCGAGCAGTGCAACACCCCATCCGTCCCGACCTCGCGGGGTGCGCTGGCTTGGGGCAATCGATCGGAACGCGGATTATTTGCAGATCCAAACCGTTTGCCCCCCTTCCTCCGAAAAAGACCTGAAGGCCTTAGCAAGGTCTTATTTGGAGGAAAGGGAGAGGGGGTTCGGAGGAAAGGGGGGTTGGATCCCATGAACTTTGTGCGCTGTTTGCTCTGGACTGTCCAGCCTTCATATAGATATGGGTCAAAATAAAACCACCAGAAAAACCGCAGGTTTTAGTCTACGTGTCCATTTACCAGGGCAAGCCATTTTGGGTACCTATTCTTGACCCACGGCCATATCAACGAAGCCGTTGAACGAGCCATTCCCGGCCTCGTTGAAGGGGTCCATGGCGCGAAAGCGGCAGGACGGGCACCAGAATCTCTTCGGATCCCCAGTGTAGCGCCTCGGATGGAATCCCCGGAGGGGCCCTGGGGTGCCAGAAATTCTTCGCTCGGAAACGGAGATCAAATCGGAAAAACTGCCACAAGCATGGGGAGAAAACTTGTGGAAGGCACCCCTTTTGAAAAGGATGACTTTAAATGGAAACCCACGCCCAACTGGTTTCAAAGGGCTTTGGGAAGCTGCTCAAGGAAGGTAAAAACCCAGACCATGCGACAAACTGCCAGTGACCGGTGTTTGAATAACTTTGCGAACCAGAGGACCTTCCCATCCTCACAACGTGCAGCCATGGATTTGAACAGGAACACCTTCCCCCTCCCGGCTTTGGAACCGCGTTTTCTGCTGCCGCCACGCCGCGTTTTCTCCAAGTTGAAGATGGCCGAGCAGTACCTGGGCTCCCTCCCGAGATGCAAAGCACCGTGCTTGGCAACAGCTACCCCCAGCCCCCAGCGACATGGAGTCAAGCCGAAATTTGGCCGAACACCCCTTCTTGAAACTCATTTTCATATTCAACCAAACATCTGTGGGATGTTTACTTGTCTGAAGATGTCGCAATCAGCTTCAAACCACATGTTGTGGCAATTCCGATTGAAATCACGATCTTCCTTTGTAACTCAAAAAATATTCCCACCTCGAAATCAACCTCTTCGAAACTGCGTGAAAAGTATCTTCCCCCCTGCGCTTCACGAATACTCTTCATGAGTTCCATGAATCTTCTTCAACTTCCCGGAATTGATATCCATGAACTTCAAGTCCCTTCAACATGAATCTTCAACTCGAAACTTGCACCCCCCCACACACCCCCACACACACCAACACACACACACACATGAATTAAATCTTCTTCATGAAACTCCGAGAGGAACTCAAAGAGCCCCTTCCTCGACCTCCCAACTTGAACTCCAGCGGAGCCGCGCGCAGCGCAGCAGCCGGAAGCTCTGCACCTCCACCGCGGACCTTCAGCGACGCGCTTTCTCGACCCGGCGCGCGTTCTGGACGGCGCCCAAAGCGGTGGTTCTATATGGTGTCATTCCTATATTCATGAGGTGTGCGAAAATAGGGTAAGATATCTCTGTGTGTGTACCTTTTTTTTTGGAACGGCTGCTAGGAGGAGCTCCTGTGCCAAGGTGTGTGTACCTTAATATCTATGGAAACAACTGGATTACATGTATGAGTTCAAAGCATGTTTGCACGTGTATTTGTACTCACGTCATCGTGTTTGGCTGGTGGGGAATGGTTGGCGGAGAATTCCTGTATTCAAAAGGCATTTTGATCCTCGCTCTGTAACAGTGTCTGGCAAACTGAAGCTCAGGGTTCCCTTTTTGATTTCCCCCAAGGTAGACTTAAATCAAAAGAAGGGGTTCCCTGGATCGGAACCCCTTTCAAGGTCACCCCCAATTGCCCTTGACTGCTTCACTAAGCAGGGGACCTAGGTATTCTTTTGGACAAATGGGCGCAAAAGGAAGCAAACTGAACAGGGCAATCCATCCGTAGTCGGCTAACCCACACATTAGGGAAAGCTAAACGCCTTCCTTAAAAAGTCTTAGAACGGCTCTGAGAGCCTTTCTTGGGGCAGGGGGGGGGGGCAGTGGGGGCGCACTGCCTGCGGGGGTAGCTTCATGACTCCTTTGGCTTGGGAGATCCTGCGAGCGGCTGGAAGACCATCTGCACCGGCCGCGACACGGGGACGTCCGCCTCACTTCGCTGGATGTGCGGGTGGCTGGAAGAAGCCGAGCACAGGGAAGAAGCATGGATGAGTGTCGCTTTCTGAGGTCCCAAGTTTCTTGGGGCAAGTGAGTCTGGGTGAATCTTTCTGCTCCCCTGCTAAAAGTGAATAACTTTTAGTGGTATAATGGAAAACCCATTAGTTGACAAAAGTTAAAGTCCTAACATCCCTTGGCAAAATGCACCCAAGAGTGAGTCTTCAGTGAATAGGCAATCGCCAGTCGGATGCAAGTCTGCCTACCCCCAAAAGCAGACCTGCACAATCTCCCCCGCTCCCCCGTGCAAAATCGATGGAAGAGGCGCCTCTCATTTGAAGGATGCTTCGCGGCATCAAAAGCAACATTTAGGTGGAAGTTGGGACCCCCATTGAACCCTCTTGGGGAATTTCGCTCAAGGTCAAAACAGGGGCTTCAGTGATTAAAGGTCAGAAGTCATTTTCCAAGCAGTCGTTTAAGGGTCGAACCGAGCCGCAGCCAAGGTATGTATTTCCAAGATGGCCAACTATGAACCAACAAATGCGCTCCTTTTTGGGCTTCCCTTTGAACCAACCTGAAACGGGTACCCTCCAAATTTCACGCATGCCCAAGGCCCTTCCCACACAAGGAGCATCCCGCCCCCCCACCCCACCTTCAGCTGCGGTGCGGGCGCCTCCTCCTGTGCAGAGCCCTTGGGCGCTAAAAAATCAATCAAGCGACAAGAACTGGCGCCACTCCGAAAGAAGATGGCCATGGGTCAAAAGATGGTCGCTCCATGGGTCATGGGTCAAAGACCGCTCCAAAAAAGAAGGCCATGTGTCAAAATCCAAAGCCCGTACCTCCAGTGAACATCCGATTCAAGCCCCACTAAAATAGGTTCTAAAATGGGTGGTGAATTCACCTACCCCAAAATGGTACCATTGGTTGTGACCCACAGCCAGACGGACCAAGGGAAAGCGTGGAATTTCGAGCTCAAAAGAATGGGCAGTGGAGGTATGCCACATCCAGGGGCACTCAAAGCGAGCGTGGACAAGGAAGATCAAACTGGTTGATTCCCAAAATTAAATGGCAACAGGGAAAATTGTTTACGAACTGAAGGTAAAGACCAACTGATGGCGAAGCTCTGTGCCAAGCCGATCGTTCGCTTCGTTGGTCCAACGTCTTCATACGACGAGTCTATCGTCAAACAGTCCAGCAAAGAGATTCGAGTGTGTTTGCTGTTGCTTTTCCACGCCGCCGTTGGCGAATTTGTATATGTGTGGCATGTCCAGCGTGAGAACGGCCCCCGTGCTACTGTATCCATGACCAGGGAACAAGGCTTGCCAAAAATGATAATGTTCCTTTTTCCCATAATTTTCCTTGGCGGTCTTTTCTCAATAGAAATCAGCTACAAACATGGCGATGTCAGGATAAACGTGGGACAGTCGAACATTCCCCAAACTGCAGACTGCAGGAACCTGCTGGAACGGTTGCTGATCTTAGTCGAGGATGTTCCTGAAAAAGTGCGAAAGCAGGGTTGCGAATGGCGCCGTGACCGGTTTTTTTTGGAGAGTGCCCTGTGAAGTGGGGTGGTTACGCCCACCAAAAGGAAACCACTTGTTTGAAGTGCGATTCAAAAGGAACCCGAAGCTGTTCACCCCGCAGAATCCCAAAACCTCGGGTTTTGGGACAACTTGAAACTGGAAACCAGTTTAAAAACACCCGAACCCGCCATAAGAGGAAAGCAGAAGCTCGTCTTACACCACTTTTGTAGCCAGGCGTTGCTAAAAAAAAAACTGGGCGCAATTGCTTTTTTTTTCCGTGGCCGCACTTTGCCGTGGATTGCGCCGCCCCTCCACTCAACAACTTCTCCCCCACACGTCTCCTCAACCAGTCGCCGCTTCCGCGAGGGTCGCTCCAGGCGCGCAAGGAGTTCCGCCTGCGCGCAGGCGGAGGGCAGATCCACTCCAAACCGCCGGGAGCTCGGCGGTTAGGCCTCGGAGTAACATAGAGCCATTTTTGCAATTTCGGGGTCGGGAAAAGGAGCTTCCATGGAATCCGTGTCCATTCAATCCACTTGTTGAAACCAGTGAAGCTAGGAACTTCGGGCTGTGGCTTCGATGGCCATTTGTAAAATCCCCTCCAACCCATTCAACACCAAGCAAAAAAAAAAACTCCTGGCTGCATCTGTGGCTGTGGCCATTTCCCATTTCCCAGGCACTCCAAAACCCCCGAGCAATTTACACCGGGCGAAGCGTTTGGCCTTTGGGTGGCAGCAACGCCGGGCCTTGGAGTCCCCCTTCTCCGCCTTGATGCCTTTGGCGCGGCAGAGGCCCTGCCTCAGCGCGAGAGATGCGCCAGCCCATGACCCGTGACATCCAATTTCAATCTGTCTGAGACAGAGCTCGGAACATGAAACCCAAAAAAGATTGGAAGAACTTACATGATGCTTACATGAAACCCAACAAAGATTGAAAGTCCAGAACTTGTCCAGTGGAAGTGAAATTGGAGAACCTGGGGTTGAGGGGTATCCGCAACAACCTTGGAAGCTGTTTGCCCAGCCCCAAACTCCTACCTCCACAGGCAAGGAAGAGGTTGGCAGAGACGGTTAAAACAGAATGGAAAAGAAAAGGCGCCATCAAAAATGGGGGGGGGTGCTATCCCGGACCCTTGAAAACTGACCTGGACTTAAGGGGTCAGCCCGTGGAGGAGCCCCAAAAGCTCGTTCCAGTGGATCCAGGCAATCCAGTTGTCCCTAAAAAAACTAAACGGGGGGAACGGCTGCCGCCATTGCACGTCTGTGTCGTTACCCCCGCTTGTAAGAAGAGGGTTGGAAATGTGATGGGTTGCAGGAACACTGTCAAAACGTTCGTACTGAAGGCTTGTCGCTATGTGTTTGCGAACGTCGGAATGGAACGCTCGGCTTTGTGGTCGGGATGGCTGGAGATTCAAGTTGTGCATACTAGAATGGAAACTGGATCGGAGAAAGGAACTCTCTGTACTTGTAACATTGGCCTCTTTCCCACATGATCCGCAAACACCAAGTCGTTTGTCTCCAGGCGCAACGACACCCATCACACCCATCAAAAAGTGCGCTTCGACAGCATGGGCTTCGGTTTCCCGTTCCCCCCTGTCACCAAATCCCAGGGCATAAACCCGTGGGGACCTTCCCTAGCTCTTCTGTGGCCTCAAATAGATGGCTACGGGGCCACGTCTCTGTTGCAGGTCTAGCCCCATTTGGATCTTGCTATGACAGTACGGCTGAACAGAGCCCGGAGCTTAGTTTCAAGGCAAGCCAAGAGGAAAACTGAATGCCTTAGTTTCAAGCAAAAACCAAGAGGAAGAAAAAAAAAAACACAATGCCACGTTGGGGCCCCAAAAGGGGTCATTTCGCGCCTGCTCGACCAGCCATGCAAGAAAAAAAAAAGAAGAAGAAAAAAAACGCGCGCCCGAGCCGCAGCAGCGGCAAGGAGAGCGCTGCCAGCTTGTTGCGCTCCGCCATGGCATCGAGCGAGAGCGCTCAAGGGCTGGAAGTCAGCGGGGTGCTGTTTTTGGTCCCCCGGTCAACAGCACACCCCAGGGAAACCTGACCGACAAACCAGAAGAAAGGATGAAGACAAATGGGATGAGTGGGTAAGACCCAAGGGAAACCTGATCGGCCAACCAAAAAAGCATTTGGTGAAGTCATTCCCACATGGGCAGGAAGACCTGGCTTCTGAGCCGCAGGGATGGAAAGGGACTTTCAGGCTTTCAGGTGCCCAACCTGACTGGAGTCCGGTGCTTGTGCTCCTTGTGCTCCGGTGCCCCTGTGAAGCGCTCCACTCACGCTGAAGTCATAGCGCGCTCCAGGCAGAGGTGGTCTGTCCATGGGGAATAACCTATGGCTCCATTTTGGGGTGCATGAACATCCATTTTGCCACCTATTTTGATGTTCACCAGGGGTACAGGGTTTTGACCCACAGCCATCTGTCCATGGCTTCTCCTCTCTGCGTAAATTCGCTCGGACGGAAAGGCGGCGAAATCAAACCGAGATCCGAGATCCACCGAGCGCTTTCTGCACGCCCGGGCTTACACAGTTGCATCCACTCCCCACAACTCCCCCGCGAAAAAGTTCCAAGCGCGACCTCATGCACCTGCAAACATGGGGACCTTCCGGCCGTGACATCGATCATGGAACTCCAGCACCGCAAGTTGGTAAACCCACTGGGCACGGGTAGCTTGAGATCACCAAGACTAGGCATCCAAGCGAAACCAACAGATCACCCACCTCCCTCCAGAAACCAGCGCCTCCCTCCGGAAACCAGCGCCTCCCTCCAGAAACCAACCACCAATCCGTTTTGAAAAACCAACAGCTCAACCACCTCTTTGCAACCTCAGCTCAAGCCTCGTGCACAGCGGTAGGTGCGGCACCTGAAGGGCAGCTAGGGACTGAACCCCCCCCCCGCCGGGGTTTGGAAGCGGCGGCAGTTCTACGAACATGCGCTTTTTGTTCAGCTTTATATGGGCTTTACTAGAAGCACCACCTAAAAGGGGTCTTTCCAGCGACACACGAGGATACATCAGTCTCAATTTTGCTTTAAACTTTAGGGCGTGGCTCAAAATTAAACAGGAGGGGTTACGCAGGTGTTGGTCCATGTTTCCACTTACCAAAGTTCCATTTTGGTACCGGTTTTTTGAGCCACAGCCTTTAAGACAAAGTCGTGGTTCAACAGACGTGTGACTACAATATGCAAAGTTCTACAGCAACGCGGTTCCCAACAAAATATCTCCAACAGCAGCTATGCAAACTGACGAACTCAAACCGGCCGACATGGGTCGGCCTTTGGTGCGGGCTAAAATCACCGCTTCCTCCGCTGCCGAAAAACTCGGGGGGGGGGGGGGGGGTCGGTCGGGGTGCCTGGATAGGTTTACAGGGAATCGACGGTCCCATGCCAGAAAGCGCCACGTCCGCTTTCATTGTTTCAGTTCTCTGCGTGTCTGCTCGCCCCGATTGGGGTGGTTTCCTTGCGAGCCTCAAAACGGGAATACCCAATTGAAAAGGCACACACCCATCTTCTGCAACGGATGAGCTACCAGGAAGGATCATGCACTGCTATGGCTAAAGCCATAGCAGTGGTGACTATTAGTGACTATGAGAAACTCTCAGCCATGGGCCATAACCTTTTTATGGTTTCCTTATCCACACCTGTCATAAGTGCCCGGCGGGATCGGCGCCGTTGACCACACGGTAGAGCACCAGCCGCTGCTCCTGGGGTTTGAGGGGGACCCATGCAAGGGAAAACACAAAATGTATTGGGGTATTGGGTGCTTTAAGCGGAAGAATAAGCATTGGGTCTTGGGTGGTTACTGAAATTGGGCGTTTGATGTAAAAAAACAATGCCCTTTGGAAAATTGGGTGGCTCCCCCTTGCTGTACTGTCAGTGGTGTCCAAAGCACTTGCGGGACCCCTTGAAGGGATTTGGACGCCCTTGCACGAAACATCTGGGTCTGTCTTGTTTTAGGGTACCTTCTTGTTGGTTGGTGTTAAAGGGACGGGGGGGGTTCCCTAAAAAGGAAGACACGCCCATCTGGGTATGGCTCAAAATACACCCACCAGAGACCGCAGATTTTAGTCTTTGGTTCCATAGCTCAAACCATTTTCGGTACGCATTTTTGACCCACAGCCACATATATATATATATATATATAATACATATATATATATAACATATATATGTATGTGTAACATCCACCCCAAAGGTTATGCGCCATGGCCATCCGAAGACAAAAGCGGCTCCGGACGAGCCAAGGTTCCCCGGGCCCCCCGCGGCCATCTGCGCGAAGGCGAAGTTGCAGGTCTCGGACCGAGCCCCGCTGAAAAACGTGTCTGGGCGGATTTCCCGGAATGTTCAACGGGGCATGGCACTGACGCTTCTCCTCTCGGCTCCCTTTAACGAGGTGTCTTATTATGAGTTTCTTTTGAAAAAAAAAGAGAGTTTAAAACAAAAAAAACTGCCAGGTGTTTCCAACCTCTTGGTTTCCTTGACTTTTGACTTTGAGTTCGCACCGCTCAGGAACGGCTAGCGCTAGTGAGCAAGCACTGAAGGATGGCAACTGCAATACAGCTCTCAGAATTCAACTACATGTACTGCAAAAAACACAGGCATCCCGTGACGCATCACCTCTTGGTTTCCCAGGTAAAGCCAGCCAAAGGAGGCTTTCCCCAAAAAAAAAGCATGCCAGATGTTTCCAACAAAGGATCCGCCAGTGAGTTTCCTACAAATCTGTCTCAAAAATGGGGGCCTTGCTGGGCCATTGCTTGAGTTTCCCTTCAACAAGCAGGCCAAACCAAAAACGGGTACCCTCAACACAGCCAAGCCCAAGCTTACTCCACCCAGGTGTTTCCAAAAAACGTGGTTGGATATCCTGATGAGGTTGCCTGCAGTTTTGAGCCTTTTGAGCCTGCGCTTTTCAATGCTGTCTCAGCTCTGAACTCTGGGCTGGCCGAAGGTGTAAAGCACCGGGGGTTCAGGGCTCCTGACCGGGGCCGGAGAAATGCCCCTGGCGTCTCAAAATAAGAATCGGAAAGCCTCAAACTGGTTTTAGGCGGCCTGTTGGTTTCCCTGCACCATCCAAAAAGCCTACCCTCAAAACCAGGCACAACCCCCCCCCCCCGACGCGGGATGCCTGCTTTTGGTAGCTGGATTGAACCAAGCCGAAGATGCCCAACTGAAAAGCGAAGACGGAACCCGACAAAAGCGGCGGGCTCCACGGGGTAAATGGCTGAGACCCAATGCTCAGCCTATGCAGCAAGACTCTGCCATTGAGACCGGTGCCCCCGCTGAGAATCTTTTTGAAGGCAAGCCAAAAGGGAAACTGTGGCCGTGGGCATGCCCTAGCGAGGAAACAGCGGCAAGGCTGCCATCGTGGCGTCTTGCGAGTCACTTATGGCAAGAGGAAACCACCCGCGATCTGCCAATCCTAAAGTAGGTAAACCAACCCCTCCTCCCATCTGCTCGTCTGCCCATCGATCTCACTGCCGGGTTTGACCTTTGACCTGTCTCCCTTGGATGTTTTTTGCTTGATTTCCAACCAGAAGGGGAAGCCGATGGGCAAACTGCGTCTTTCTGGGTTGGGGGGGGCCTGGACGCCTACCTTCGGACGCGCCCATTCTCACCAGGGTGTGCCAAAGAATCGGGAGTTGGACCCCCAAGTTTTCGTTTGCTCCGCGGATTTCCGCGGAAGACTTCCCGACCAAACCCAAGGTGAAAAGGGTGCCGACCGAATCCAAAAGATTAGCCCGAGCAACCTGCTTGGCACTGCCTGCGCCCAAAAAATTTCAGCCGAACCACGTTCCCCCACAAGGCCGATCTGGGAGACAACGACCCGCAAAATTCCCCGAGCTGCGGGTTTCTTGCCTTTCGTGGGCAAAAGTGGGGGCAAACCGCCCCAAAATAAAATACAAAAAGGGGGCCGCCGCCCGCGGCTCCAGAAGGAGATGTTGTAGGCCACCAACATCGCCATGGCCGCTCCCAGGCTGTGGCCCGTCACCCGGAGCCTCGCAAGTCGAGGGCTGGTTCCAACTCGACGAAGATTCCCTGGGGTTGGGCAGATGAGCCCCTTCGAGGTGGTTGGGTAGTTGGAGTTGGGACCAGGAAGGAGGGCTTGGACGGATGAGTGTTGGGAAATAACGGCGGCCGATTCGAAGGTGGCATCCTGTATTGAATAAGGAAAGAAATAAGAAAGAACGAAAGAGGGAAGGGAAAGGAAGGGAAAGGAAGGGAAAGGAAGGGAAAGGAAGGGAAAGGAAGGGAAAGGAAGGGAAAGGAAGGGAAAGGAAGGGAAAGGAAGGGAAAGGAAGGGAAAGGAAGGGAAAAAGGAAGGAAGGGAAAGGAAGGGAAAGGAAGGGAAAGGAAGGGAAAGGAAGGGAAGGGAAGGGGAGGGGAGTCAAGGGAAGGGGAAGGAAAGAGAAAGGAGCAAGAGCAGCACAAAGAGCAAGGGCAAGGGCAAGGAGAAAGAGAAAGAGTCCAGGCGCAACTACAAGCAGCTTCCGGTTTGGCCACCTGCCGTCGCTCCGAAAGCAACAAAAAAAGGCTGCAGGTCAAAAATACGTACCCAAAATGGCTTGCCCTGGTAAATGCATTCATGGACTAAAATCTGCGGTCCAATTCCGGGTAGCTTAATTTTGGCCCACAGCCATATGTTGAGATGTGAACATCCCAGTGAATATTTCAATCCCCACTACAATGGACTAAAAATGGGTGGTGCACCAAAAAACCCAAAATGGTACCATTGGTTGTGAACCATACGCATATCTGCTTGAACCAATCCCTGAGTCACTGAGGCGCTAGCTGGCAGCTTTTGCACGACTTCATCTGCATTTGCAGCACCTGCGGCTCCAAAGGGCCACCAAACCCGTTCTGACTCGCCCGAAGCTCCGCAAACTGAACGTGGCTTGACATGCGCTGATTCTGCCATCTGGCAAAGGCGTTTGGGGGATGCGAGAGAGCCAAAACAGGCACAATCCAACCACTTTCAATCCAGGCACCCCACCAACGCCCCAGGAAGACCGCGCTCCATCCAAAAAATG